ACAATTAAAATAGCATTATCATTACTGCTAAAAAATAAGAAGAAACCGATCAATGAACTACCTACACAAATTTGGTGTAACCTGTATATACAGTAATGCTCGGCGGTTTAAAGCATCCGCGGCTGTTGCAGCTACTAAAAATCCAATGTTAAGCGGTATAAGAGACTGCAAAGATGGATTTATACAAGCTGTAAGTGACAAATTCGATACATTCTTATCTACATAGAATTGCTTAATTATTAGTGCCTTCAAAGGCATGCTGTGGGTTTGACGTAACAAACCCACAGCATGCCTTTACTTATGACTCAAGCTAAAACCTCGAGCGACTTCTCAGTTATATGCAATAACTCCATTATTTACATTACTTAAATATAAATCTGTAACTTTACCAGTATTTTTATTTTTTCATCACACCAATAAGTGCTATTGTTGCTTAAAATAAACCGGGAGATTCTCACTGCACCTACAGATTGGGGGAATACGAGAATGTTCAGTGTAAAGGGGCAAGTGTGATGTGTGGGGAGGGGGGGGGGGTTGAAGGCACTAATAACAATTATTTTTTACAAAGGTTACTTGTACAAATGTGGAATGCATAATATAATTATGTTTTTTGAACAATGAATGTAATATGTCATAGGTATTGGCACTAAATTACAACTTTATGTTAATAATAACTTCAATTTCACAAAATTGTGCTAAAACCGTGAGGTTTACCAAAAAAAACGTTGATATCATTTCTGTGTAGTTTTTTACGCTCTACATTTTATGTCTCTACATAAATATCTCTAAAACTAACCGTTTTCGAGTATTTATCGAAAAACCAGTTTTGGCCGCCATTTTTCCAATATGGCGGCGTTTGCCCAAGGGTGCCAAGGTGGCACCCGGCATATTCGTAATCAGCGCAAAAAACTGAGTCAGAATCAGTCAAAAAACCTTTGTCCACCCAAATTTCCAGGTCCCCCTAGCTGACGCCCAGACTAAACTGGCAATGGGTGAACTCTGTAGTGGCAAGGCATTTTTGACGATTATACAGTCATATTTTCAAAAACTCATATAATAAACTAATAAAGCAAGCCAGCAAACATATTGACCAAAGAACTTGTTGTTGTATATATAAAAATGGTAACAGAATAAATACTTAGAAAAGCATGTATTAAAATTAGGTAAAAAAATTAATCGTTTTTTGAATTTTAAATGAAAATGTTGCTCCATGAACCAAAAGTTTTATGTAAAATTCAAGATATACAAGCTGTTCGGAATTTATTTCCCTACATAGAAATGTAAACAGATTTCAATAACCATTTTGTTTTAGAAATTTATGACCCAAAAACAAAAAAAAATGGGAAATTTCACAATTTTCAATACCGTACAATACAAATTTCAAACAAAAACCAAATAAATGTATTCTGAAGAAATGTAGTAAAAGTACACATAAGGCAATAAAATTAGAGTTTAAGAAGTAAGAGTTGTTCATGTAAAATGATCATTACAATAAATCTTTATATTTTTTTTAGAAAACAAATTTTGTATTCAAACATATACGCTTTATATTATTTTTCAAACACATAAAACACAAATACCAACAATATAATTTTGTCCTCTACATGAATATATAGTTATAAATGCAAATATAAATAAATAAATATTTTATAGTGTTTTATATGAAATGCTGCTGCGCCTTTTTAAGTGGTGATTGATCACAAATTGGTTTGTTCAATATGACAAAATGTTATGTCCCAAATTTAAAATTTAGTAAGCATATGCACGAAAAAAAGTTTACAAACCAAATATAACTACTAATAAATCATTACCTGCAGACGACGACCTTTCACCAATATTTTATTTGTAAAATTATTGTAAACATTTGTACATTATTCTTAAGTTAAAAAAATTCAATAGATTAAAAAAAACAAATAAATATGATTCAAAGTAATAAAGTCACAGTCACACTCGCAATATTCATTGTTGGTAAACAGTCAATAAAGTTCACAAAAACCGGCTAAAAATAGGGTCTCAACTCTCAAGTATGAAGTATGGATATTTGTCTGACTTAACCTCATTCTCTGTTGGCCAACAACTAACATGTTGAGTTTTTTTGTGATTTTACTTTATCAGTTTGCATTGTGATTATATTGTCTTTGTTATATTTAATAGTAGTGAGACAATGTTATACTATCTAGAATCTATGGCCCTTTTTGGCACCTCTTTTTGTTAACGAGGTCTATTATAACATATGTTATTTAAGGACCAATAAAGATTTAAAGATTTACAGATATAAGCTGTTAGTTTGTAAATATTTAGTTTGAATATTATTTATTGTACTTTTAGTAATGTCACATTTCAGTCAAGGCACAATAAATAATATTCAAACTAAATATTTACAAACTAAAAGCTTATAATCACGATGCAAACTGATTAAGTAAAATCACACCAATACTTGACTTGTTAGTTGTTGGCCAACAGAGAATGAGGTTAGTTAGTCAAATATTCATGAAAAATATCAGCTGATGACATCAGCTCCAGTGGGGCAATCTAAAACAATTAAATACCGCAATGCACAGAGTTTCACGGACTTTCAAAATTAGATACTTAATTATATGGATATATTTCAGTGTTTTTAAATAAAATGTGTTTTATGACTGCTACTATTTATTATAGTCGATCTGCCACTTCGTGAACACGTACAAATTGATTGATTTGTTTTAATGATATCAAAATGTTTTTGCACCATATTATTGGAAATTTCTTCTTAATTGCAGTGGTACCACCCATTTCTTTGTATACAGGAAATAGCCCGTGCTATGATTTTTTGAAAGAACAAAAATAACACGTACAATACTGATAAATAAGTTATTTATGATTTTTTTAAACATACCATGTTTGGAAATTTTGTAACGCATAACTACGTGAATGGTGCAACTGTTTTTCCCTGAATTTTGTTCACTTTAGTGCTTAATTACAGAGATTGTGTGATATAAAAGTTTATTTATGTAACAACATGAAAGTTTAGAATATTATCTTTCAACCGGTATGAAAATTATACCATTTTACAATAGTTTTTAGCCATTTATTTGGAGTTAAAACCTTAGAAAACGTGACTATTATAGTATAGTCCCTGCCACTATAGAAAACACCTACAGTGCCGCTGCTATTATAGTATAGTCCCTGCCACTATAGAAATCACCTACAGTACCGCTGCTATTATATTATAGTCCCTGCCACTATAGTAGAAATCACCTACAGTACCGCTGCTATGATAGTATAGTCCCCGCCACTACAGAAATCACCTACAGTACCGCTACTATTATAGTATAGTCCCTGCCACTAAAGAAATCACCTACAGTACCGCTACTATTATAGTATAGTCCCTGCCACTATAGAAATCACCTACAGTACCGCTGCTATTATAGTACAGTCCCTGCCACTAAAGAAATCACCTACAGTACCGCTGCTATTATAGTACAGTCCCTGCCACTACAGAAATCACCTACAGTACCGCTGCTATTATAGTATAGTCCCTGCCACTACAGAAATCACCTACAGTACCGCTACTATTATAGTATAGTCCCTGCCACTATAGAAATCACCTACAGTACCGCTGCTATTATAGTATAGTCCCTGCCACTACAGAAATCACCTACAGTACCGCTGCTATTATAGTACAGTCCCTGCCACTAAAGAAATCACCTACAGTACCGCTGCTATTATAGTATAGTCCCTGCCACTATAGAAATCACCTACAGTACCGCTACTATTATAGTATAGTCCCTGCCACTATAGAAATCACCTACAGTACCGCTGCTATTATAGTACAGTCCCTGCCACTACAGAAATCACCTACAGTACCGCTACTATTATAGTATAGTCCCTGCCACTATAGAAATCACCTACAGTACCGCTACTATTATAGTATAGTCCCTGCCACTATAGAAATCACCTACAGTACCGCTGCTATTATAGTACAGTCCCTGCCACTACAGAAATCACCTACAGTACCGCTACTATTATAGTATAGTCCCTGCCACTATAGAAATCACCTACAGTACCGCTGCTATTATAGTATAGTCCCTGCCACTACAGAAATCACCTACAGTACCGCTGCTATTATAGTACAGTCCCTGCCACTAAAGAAATCACCTACAGTACCGCTGCTATTATAGTACAGTCCCTGCCACTACAGAAATCACCTTCAGTACCGCTGCTATTATAGTATAGTCCCTGCCACTACAGAAATCACCTACAGTACCGCTGCTATTATAGTACAGTCCCTGCCACTACAGAAATCACCTACAGTACCGCTGCTATTATAGTATAGTCCCTAGAAATATGCAGTGCACGGTAAAAGTACAATACGTTACTTTTTCATGTGCAGGCACGGCAAAGGGCAGCTTTCCAGCCTATCAATACGGATGGGAAAAAACCCTGCTTCTGTTTCGTATGATCTAACCATTTTAGCTGTACAGTTCACCTTCGTACTGTACTGGCTCACCCCTTGCTTTGCTGGATACGTTTCACGCACAGGCAGTGAGTCTATGTGGACAGGCCACAAACCTCTTGAAAAAAACAACTAAACTGGAGGTTTGTGCCAGCCTGATATTTTCAGTCTTAGCCAAACTAGAGGTAATGGCATGATCATCTGTCTTTCTCAATCGCAACAAAATTATTTTCATCTCCCGCACCGTCATGGACTTCCCCATACACGAAAACGTGATTGTCGTCCTGCGCATTCATGGTCAAAATCATGATCATTTCCTGTGGCCATGTAGATATCATCATCATTGTCTCTCACAGTCACAAATCGTGATCGTCGCCTTGTCCAATCGCGGCAAAATCATGAAGATTTGATTAGATTTTACATAGTGCATAAAATTCCCGACTGTGACATCAAATAAAGACTAAATTCCGACTTTAGAAGACCATTTTGATATTCAATACTAATTCCCGACTATCCCGTTTTTTACTCGTTTAGTATGTCAAAAATAAATTGACAACTTACGTACCGTCTGTATTGCTGCCAGGGGAAGGGGAAGAAGCCAGTTTGATGAGGTCTCCAGTGCTCTGTACTCGCACAGACTTGCCATTCTGCGCCATGCACCCATGATGCAACTCTGCGCAGTCATCCTGAGGACTGGTCCAGCGGAAGGAATCACTCCGTCGCAGTTTCGACACTTCCGGCTGCCTGGAACTGCCTCCGCTCTCACTCTTGGTGCGAGTCTTTGTTCTTTTGTTTTCTGCAATCAATCATAATCTTGCTGTGAGTTAACTGATAAGATATGAAACTTAGTTAACCTTACCTAACCTAATTAGGAAACAGACATTAGATTAGGATGTTTTGTCAAAATCGTATCTAGAACTGAAAGTTATAAGAAATGTTCATTTAATTAATCATTTTAATCCACAAACAGAAAGAGTAAATTAAAAAAGAGTATTAGTAAAAAACCTAAGCCACATTAATTAAAAATAACATACTAACAGTACCAGTACTACTATCCAAATCCTCTTCAAGACGCAAATATTTTTTTGATTTGTTCCAAAACACCATGTTACTATGTTTAAAGAGATATAAAAGAAAAACTAAAAAAAGTGATTTCTTCCATTTTGAGGATACAGAGCCACAATTTCAGATAACAGCAATTCCACTCAATCTATACATTTTGCTTGTTTTTGATAAGATTACGTGCATCAGTGATTGAAAGTGACTCGTAGAACGATATTCTTTATCATGGTTATTACATTTATCAAATTTAATATGAAACCGTAAATGGAGATTTGATTATACAAAATTCAAAGGTGATTTGAAGTAGTAATGAGGAAGAAGGATGAGGAAGAGGATAAAGAGAACAAATACATACCTAACAGATGAATTTTTAAATTTAATTAAATTATTTGTACTACATACTTATTGAGTAATAAATCTTCAAAGAAATATTGAATATTCAATAATTAAAACTAAATGTTTTGAAAAAAAAAATAGCTTTTTTACGTGCGCCCTGTCAGCAGTTGACTGTCGAGTTACAGGGTGTCAAGTTAGTGAGGTTTCACCTTAATTTTACATAAAATAACTGATACACCTTAACAAGCTATCAGTAGGCTACATAGAAGCATAACAGAACCAATACCATTAAAATATGCTACAGTTAGTACACATTTGTTACATTGAGGTTTCAAACTTGACATATTTTCTGAACACACAGAGTAAATTGCATTATCAGGTCTTAGGCAGTAAAAGTTACACCAAGTTGGCTATTTCACTCATTCCACTTGAGATATTAATGAAGATATAAATATAATTTTAATTTCAAATTCCCGCTAAAATACGACTTGAGAATCTTAATTTATTCATTTAGGAGAGTACTGTTGTATTATCTTTTAAAGAAAGTGTTAACAAAGTGCCTTATTATTATTTTTATTAAAGTATTGAAAGTTGTACAAGAAATAAGTGTTTTAGAATGATTTCAAAGCCTCTATCTAGGTTTTAGGAAGTTTAGGGATAAAGTTAGGGGGTGTGCGATGCATTGAAATTCTGATTTGATTTGATTTTATTCATCGAATCACGATTTGATTCAGTGGTGATCAAAAACAATTCGATTCATGATGGAGTCAGTATCCAAATACGAAAAACGCCTGCAGAAAGTCAACGCAATAACCGCAATACAGGAGCGCCTTGATGTTGCGTTTTCTTTGCAAAGGCGTTCTTATTTAATTAATTCTTTGCTTGTAAATATTGCTTTAATTGATTTATAATTTTTTGTTTTGACATTGCAAATGATAAGAAGTTTTGTCAAGTGTAAGCAGTGTGAGAGATGTTTAACAACTGTAATAGCCAAAACAAGTCACTCCAAAATCATTCTTAAAATAACACAGGTCTGAAAAATCTATATATTAATTTGAAACTGTTTTTCTTTGTCATAGCTAAATTGAGAGAACGGCTGGGCGTAGAAACTCGGTAGAGGTGTCTAAAGAAAGGTCTTGGTCTGTAGATGAGCCATAAAAAGAGAAACGTGGTAAATTCCCTTGGGGCTCTGCCCCAGTGGCCTTTGAATTCCCATCCCATGTTATTCTTATGGAGGAAAAACTGGGTTTTTTACCCAGCTAATTTGAGAGAACGGCTGGGCGTAGAAACTTGGTAGGGGTCTCTAAAGAAAGGTCTTGGTCTATAGATGAGCCATCAAAAGAGGAACGAGGTAAATTCCCTTGGGGCTCTGCCCCAGAAGCCTTTAAAGTTTCCTCTTCAAATGTTTTTACCATATGCATAATTCTACACTACTTTTTAATGAAACAGCTGTTAATATTTAAATTGTGATTTATTGATTTTTTTCAAAATGAAGTACAGTATTTGCAATGGGTTTTTCTGATTTTAAAATCGATTTTATTCTGCATCGTGTCATGTTTTGCAATATAATGTTCTATTACCAAATCAGTGGAAAATCCTAATATCACAGTAACTCTTAAAATTATTTCCTAAGGAGTTAACTTATATCTATTGTATGGCTTGGTTTCTGTCTTTTTTTACCACTTCTTGGAGATTGTACATAGGTGATATTCTTTGGCGTATTGCATCTGTAGACGAAACTTGGGTTGGTGAAATTATTACAATGGAAAAAAGCGAGAAATCCTAGACAGTTTGATATAGGCTTAAAATAAAACTGAATTAACAATATGCTACATTTCTTGAGCAATCATTGAAATAACCGATTTGCAAACAATGGAAACATAGAAAAAGTCGTAGAACACAACCAAGTAGAAGAAAAAAAAAATATATATATTTTTTTCATTTATAATCGTTATTATAGACAACCTAATGCGGCTATGAGAGGGAAAAATTTGTAGAAAGACTAAAAAACAAGATCAGCTTTTTGAGAAAAGATAAGATATTTACAAAAGATTTTGATTATATCTAACTGTTGTGTAGATCGTGAGTATTTCCATAATCTTCGTGAGTCGCCTGTAATGCTTCGCAATTGCTCGAATTCGAGCAACAGGTACACTAGTTGTTACTTGATATTAAACTAGTAATTGGTGTTTGTAGACTGATTGATTAAAATTTGGTATTATTTTGTCTGCTATGTATTCCTTGTAGTTAGTCTGGAGCGTGGGAACTGTTTATGACGATTAGATTAAGGTATCTGCAATTCTGAAATACTATGGGAAGGGAGGGAAACAGGTCCGCTACGTTGGAAGTGTTGAAGTAAGTAGTCAAGGCGAGCTGTCCGGAGTGTGGGAACTGTTAATAACGATTAGATTAAGGTATCTACAATACTAAAGTGCTATGGGAATGGAGGGAAACAGGTCCGTGACGTAGGAAATGGTGTAGGACGTAGTAAAGGCGAGCCGTGTGGAGTTTGGGACTGGATCTGTGTGTCTACAATACTAAGACTGCTTTCAGAGTGAACTAACGATTTGCCCCGAGCAAAGCTCGGTCCCCAGGTACTATATCTTTATTTGTAAAATCAATATTATTATAAAATAGGTAACATGCTTAACAATATTGATTCTGCAAGTAAAAATTATGAAATAGGCAAGTAAAGCAGCTCACTGACATTTTCCAGCAATACAGATTCTTCTAATTTATGACTGAAAATAAATATTTTTTCACCAAAAATTTATATACCTATGTCATATGTAAGAATAGGCCTAATACCACATCAAAAAAATTTGCATTATACCACAAATATGTGGTAAATTTTAATTAGCCTATTTTATTTGGAAAACTGAGTTTATTATATAATAATAAACTTTGCCTATACTATTAGACACAGTAACAATAAACCTTAATTTATGATCTAAATAATAAATAACTTAGATTAATAATGTTGTCCATATAAATGATTTTGAATGAGTTTACATGATCCTTTCTACACTTAAATTACAATTTCATTTTTTTATTTTGATGGAAGATTTTTTTTTATTTTGCAAAAAATTTTGATTCTGTCTCTTGCACAAATCATTATGCCAATTACTGATATAGAATTTAGATCATATTTGTTTTTTAAATAATTTTCACATTTAATATAAATAGAATAATTTATATTAAATGTGAAAATGATTTTATCTAAATTACTTCCCTCCATTGACAAGTATGAATAAAAAAATGCCGTATTGCTTCGAATTGAGTAGCATCGATTCGATTCGAAGACCTTTTGAATCGAATCGTTACTTCGAATCAACAATTTTTTGCTGCTTCACACACCCCTAGATAAAGTATACAAGTTTATGAAAATGTTTATTTGAATTTGTGTATGTCACTTGGAACACACACAGAGTAATTAATGTCCAACAAACCTGTACTTGTTCCATAAAAGTCGTCCGCTTTGACCAGTTCCAGCGCAGGAATGGGAATTACTCTTTTCTCCTGGTCTTCGAAACGAGCCAACAACTCCTCCTGGTAAATCATACTTTACTAAATGCAAGGATTCCAATGCAAAGTGGCCTATTTTCATATGATGGGTGTCAAATGAATACTAATGGTTGGCATCCATATCAATGACTTGAAGTATTTACAGTTTAATTATGGTGGTTCTGTTGAATAATGTAGGAGACGTCTCATATGGACTAGTTGTAGTCAATTATGTATTAATAAACAACATAATTGAATGAGCTACTCACAGATTGTGCTACTGCAGTCTAATTCTATTTCTCCATTCGTTTTTACAACTGAGATAGTCGATCAGACATAAAAGTTGCCATGAATCATAAATCATAAATTAGTTTTTATTCTAACATTGGCAACAACTTTGATATGGGAATGGGATGTCTTAGTTCTACCCATAATCGGTTACACACTCTAGGGCTCAAAAACAAAAAATTAAGTCAAAATTATCCAGAGTACCAATTTAAGTTTTAGCTCTTAAGAGTTACAACACTAATGATAGGCCTGGACGAAACAATAACAACAAATCACTTACAAATAAAACTCCAACTTTGAGTTGTCCGTCTTCTGACCACTGCAGCCATCGGACGACCCCTCTGTCCTGTCCTGTGTCTGTAATCCATACCACCTGATCTCCGGGTTTCAACGGCACACTCATACTGTCTGTGAAGTACAAGTCATGTTAATAGCAATAGTTTGCTGGTGTCCAGAGGAAATACACAGTAACTTTCTAAATCTTTCAAGGTTTTTTCCAAAAAATTTAGACTGCTGGGATTTTTAACCTGAAACGTCCCTTTGTTAACACATACTTAGATCTACGGGTCTGTATGGCGATTCTATGGGGCTGTCAATGAAATCACAGAAATATGCTCACACTACCTGGATTCAGACAGTGTTACAGAGATCACACCATCCATGGAGTGGTTAACGGTTAGGTAATGACAACAACGATCCAGGATATCAGATTTTGACTGACGATTAAATAGCTGACATGCTAAAAACACAGGTGTGCAGGCCCTTTTATTCCTTTAAATATAATCAACATATAGTTACCCTTAAAATTAATTTTAGTCAAATGTCTGAGCTCGTTCTGGTTTGAAAGTCTTGATTTTGTCATCACTATGTAAATTTTCTGCTGTACAATTTTACAGTAGGCCTACATAAATGGGTTTTTGCCAAAATTCTGATTGTTAATTTTTTTTGTAAACTAGAAGTAAAATATAGCATTTATTTTTTGAAGTTAATTTAAGCAATTCATTTCAAAGCAAAACAATACAATCTGATAGTTGACACTGATGATGCAAGGCCAACACATTCTGAAGCATTTGTGGTAGGGATGGACGAGATTGGATTTTTAGTTCGAGACGAGACGAGACGAGACGAGACGAGATTTTTTATTTCTCATAAAATTTCGAGACGAGATCGAGACGAGATTTCTCTTCTCATACACGACGGGAAATGCACGTTCGAAATTTTTACCTGATTTTGTAACATTGTTAGATGACTGTTTAAATACTAAAATAATGATAATAGGCAAGAATATTTACAATCTTTCATTAAATAACATCAGCATAACATTTTTTTGTTAATCACGCCTAACTTATTAAAAATGCCTACGATTAGGAAACATGGTGATATCAGTTAGGATAGAGTTCAACTTATCCTAAAATAAAATAAATCATAAAATAAAAGCAATATTAATTTTTATAAAATAGTTACTTGTTTTGACTTTTTTATAGTAATAAAACATTTCTCACACTGCTTACACTTAACAAAACTTCTCAAATGTTATTAAAGTAATATTATTAAAATAATGAAAGTAATATTTACATTAAAAGAATTAAAGTAATATTTACATTAAAAGAATTAATTAAATAAGAACGCCTTCGAAAAGGAAACGCAACTACAACACGCTCCTGTATTGCGGGTATTGCATTGACTTTCTGCAGGCGTTTTTAATTTTTTTTTTTATTTTTTATTCTTATCTCGACGTTTCACAAATTTCTGGCTTTAAAGCAATTTCGTATCCTTACCAGTGTTTATTCCCTGTGACTCGTTGTTCCGCAATGGTTTGTCATCCGTCCAGGTTTGAGTTGCCGAGTGGCGTGATACCATTGATGACAGAGGGGTAGTAGGGGAGGGTGTGGAGGGAGAGTAGGACGAGGCAAGTCGTAGTTCGTTTACAGTAACAAACTTGCCAGTGCCTGGAGGACAGGTGAAATACCTCAGACCAGCAAACATGCCATCACAGGCATCGTCACTAAACGTTTCCTACAAAAAAGATAAAATATTATGAAATTACTGCACAATGTAGGGGATTTATTTTCATGTTCTTAGTTAAGAAGTGATTAGGGCCATTTTATATATACAGCATATGGATTAAGCTTGTGTGCAGAAAAACTACAAATGGGTGAATGGAAACCATATTTGGTAAGTTATAAAAGTTGGTTGTAAATAAAAAACCTCAAACATAATTTTTCACTTTACAAAATAGGCTATTCCTTTTGTAGCAAAACTGAAAACTAAACCAGATGCTTAATTGAGTTTTACCTAGGGCCTATTAAAAAGGGTAAACTATAATATTTTATACTTGAATTAACAATTTAGTAACATTTTAGCTGTTTGTTAAATTTTGATGCAAAAAGTAAAAGTTAAAATTAATAAATTTAATTTTCTTGCAAATAACTTAAAAGTTTTACAATAATTCCTAAACTCAAATCACAATTGAAGCTCACCAAGATCTTGTTTGTTGACTATTATTTTGATACTGGTAGACCTACTTAACTTAGTCGAGTTGTATCATCAGCAAAAGAGGATCTTTTATTGAAATCGGTACCTATCTAAAGAATTTGTATTGTATAGTTAATCGGCAATTATTTAATATGTCTACACTGGGATATGATGTAGGCTAACTTTTAGATGTCTACTTACAGTTTTTTCACGCTGAATCCAAAAATGTAATCAGTTTTTGTCGGAGAGATTAATAGGTGGCTGTAAAACGAAGGTTAAAATAACGAATCTAGGTTTATTTAGCGGTACTAATGGTAATATGGCGTAGTCTGGACGGGTCTGTATGTGGGCTGAGGACTGAGTGAGGAGAGCAAACAGCTGTTTAAATACTCGACAATGCGGAATGAAATCAATTTGTTTTGTAACTAAATAATAAGCTCTTTGGGCATGTGGGGAAGGTAGGTCGGGTTTTATGCAAATTCGTGACTGTATTAAGTGTTTTGAAGTTAGGTTTTGGATTAGGAAGGTAAAGTTTAGGTTATAATGAACTGACTTATTAATTTACGTAACCTCCAGACTGTTTTTGCACAATTGAAATAGTGGGTGAAAGTTATTTCACCTTACCCAATCCAACCTACCTATCTTCAAAGGACTACAGACATGAATCCACATAAAGTCCTCTCATGTCGTCGTGTGTCATTTTGTTTAGCTAAGTTAACAGCTGTTTCTACTCCACAAACCTTCCTCCCCTTTAAGTGTTAGTCGCTGCTAGAACTTGGACACGTCCAAACCACAAATATTTGAAAAACTCAACAAAACTGGAAGCTTGATATTAATTATTCAATTGTACGGCCACTTAGGAACATATCCGACAAAAAACTGATTACATTTTTGGATTCAGCAATTTACATCATATCCCAGTGTAGACATATTAGGCTAAATAATTACCAGTTAACCATTACCCTAACTTATCACAGAGCCTTGAAAAACGCCAATCTTGGTTTGCCGTTTCGTAACTTAAATAAAAATGGTCTTAGCCTAAGCTAGATAATTTTTGAACAATAAGTTAATTTGTGCTAGGTACTGTATAGACTTTGTATAAGTTTTACTATAAGCTTACTTATTCAAACAAACAAAATACATTGATTTAGGCGTACAAGTTGCCTACTTCATACCTAAACTTATTTCATTAAAGAAAAAACCGTGTCCATTAGGGGAATTGTATTGGTGGTATATTATAAGTTATTCGTATTAAATCTGTTCATATTGGGCCTAGGCTAACTTTGCAAATTCCTTATTTTATAAAAAACTACTCAGTGATTTTAGAACGTTTTAGCTGGGTTCTAGCATAGACAAAAAGAATTACAGTAAATAAAGACCGTCAGCTGTGCTGTGGTTACCATAGGTTCTGACGCACACCGCTTGGAGCGCCATGTAGTTACGGCGTACGCACTACGTTAACTACAGCGGTGTGCACCGGAACCTATGGTAACCACATCACGGCTGACAGTCTATATTTAATTCTTTTTGTCTATGGTTCGAGGTCCTAAATAAGCAACCTTATAACTTATAGGCTAGGCTAGTTGTGGGTAATGACTTAAAAGTTATCATGAAACATAATAATGAAAGCATAGGCCTAGTAAATAATAATAACTGTTGTTACCCTACCAAGAGCTCCACTCCAAAATAGGTTCCATGTCCCTTTTTAGCAACAGGTCCTTTGTATTTCACTACCGCTGATTCAGGTGCATGCAGTTTGTTACCTCCATTGCAATAAACATGGACTAAGCTTCCAACCTTAATTAAACTTAACTCCTTACACAATGTGTTATCTTTCAAGATGCTAACTCTATCAATAGGGGAAGGCACAGCTTCTAGTAAAGGCCAAAGTATTTCATTTACAGATAAAAGGCGATCAGCTGGACATATCCACTGATATTGCTCAAATCTTTCGTCATATGTTGAACCAAGACTCACAACTTTCACGACAAATAAAGAACTAGACATTTTTTGATCAACGTGAACCAAACTTCCCATCATCAATGTTAAGCTATCCTGATTACTATCAACCCTTTTAACCAAGGTGTTTTCAGCTAAAACACAGTACAACACTTTGGGTGATTTTCTTCTTGAATTCATTATAAATCAATTAATTCACAGTTTTAGGTTATTTAGGCCTATTTATATAATGTAATCAATTCATAGAACCAAATTAATCAAGGCAATAATTAAAGTAAGCAAAGAAATTATACCATGCCACTGACATGCAAAATTAGGGTATGCCTAGAGAACTCACATCGTGTTAATACGAAACAATAGCTAACTTAGGAGTTAAAGAGTTACTCTTTTACTATAGAGAAATGTCAGTTTAACGCTGAAAAGTATTACTTCTGTAAACTGCGTAAACACTATTAATACTAATACTAGAATAATAATAATACTGTAACACAACAAATTATAAAGATGACCACAATCACAATAACATTCAACTTCTTTCTGTCTTCTGTCCTGTCTGAGTCTGACTGAGTTCTGGTTCTGTTCTGACTTCTGAGTTTGACTAAACTGAACTGAACTGAACTGGGTTAGTTGGTTTGGACTTGGATTGGAGTTGCAGTTGAAGTTAAATCTTCCGTCTGTTTTATATTTATTTATTTTTATTCATAAGGTTTTTTTTATGACAATTTTATTAACCAATCACCATTACATTGCTATACAGGTTAGGTCATTCTTTTTGTCTATGGTATAATATAAGAAAGAAAAAAATAATTAACATAGGTAGAGGTCAGCTTTGGCTAGCCCCCGCTGGCCGCTAGCCCCTTTCTTTGGGCACTTATTGTCACTGTTTTAGCGGGTCGGACTGTAAAGGCACTGTCCACCAATGAAACACAAATAAAAATTAACGGTATCATCAGCATTCTGACACATACTTTCTTTCTACCATAAGTTTGTCAACAACCTTTATCATGTGTAAGCGGTGAGGAGTAAATATACGGAAATGGGATTTGTACAATTTTGTTCAGAATTTAAAGGACTATAACATACTAAATTTTATCAAAATTGTTGGGGCCATTTTTGAAAAAATATTTTTTTTCCGTTATTTCATGGGTTTTTTATGGGAAAACAACATTATTTACATTAACTGTTGAGCCGTAATTTTTACAGAAATGGGATTTGTACCATTTTGTTCAGAATATAAAGGACTATAACATACCGGTACTAAATTTTTATCAAAATCGTTCGGGCCATTTTTTTTGAAAATCCTATTTTTCCGTTAATTTATGGGGTTTTGTGGGAAAATCCCCATTAAAAATCAAAATTTAAAAAAATGAAAGAATAACAAAATTGTAAGGACTATAACATACTATGATAAATCAAAACCAGATTTTTTTCTAAAATCCTATTTTTCGTAATTTTATGGGGTTTTTATGGGAAAATAACATAATTTACAATAACTTTTGAACCGTAATTTTTACAGAAATGGGATTTGTACCATTTTGTTCAGAATTTAAAGGGCTACAACATAATAGTTTTTTTTTTTAAATCGTTCGGACCATTTTTGAGAAAATTCAATTTTTCCGGGTTTTCATGGGTTTTATGGGAAAATTCCCATTAAAAATCAAAATTTCAAAAAAAATTAAGAAAACGCATAGAGTGACAACTGCATTCCGTAAGATCTCCGCATGGTTTGTAACTGATGCGAGACTAACAGAATGAAACTTAACATCAATAGTGTTATAAGTGAAGTAACGTAAAGTAATAAACTTTCCACCGTTGTCATTCTCCTATAATTTTTGACCAAACGGTACGTTGGTCTACCCATAACTCGAGTTTAGGAGGTAAAGGACCTAGCTCTCCCTAGCTGTCATTTTTACACCTTCACCCTGAATGCCACGTTGATTCAAATCTGTAGCAGGGAGCAAATAGAAGCTTGGCTTTGTCTTCCGGCAGTCATGACACTTTTTGACACGGTGGCTCAACAAAGACCTTTTACTGTGCTTTGGTACCCCAGATTCTTGAGTATGTCTCACCAGTATAAATATTGGAACCCTCATCAAAAATATCTTGTTAAAGAACTGGAGAGCATTCAAAGAAGATTAATGAGAATGGTCGGGGTCCCAATTAAAGACATTTCTTGGGATCTGGGCCGAATCCGGTCACTTGTGGGCCGTAGATTTTCTGGCAACACTAAGATCCTCAATAGCAAGGTTGACTGTCCTGTCTGGCATCCTGCGCCTGGTCTAAGTCACCATGCATCCATCCACCTTATATATATCCATCCACATGCATCTTTCCTGGGACTTTCCTGGCATATTCCCGTTACAACAATTAATTTAATTTTTTTGGGGGTTTTGATCGAGGGACAGGAGTATCTTTGGCATATCCCTAGAATATCCACGATATCCTTTTTTCATAATTTATTTGTAAAATCCACTAATGAGGATATCCTGGGGACTTCCTATGGATATTCTCGGTAGGCTACCTATATTAAAACATATTTTATAGTATTGGATGTATTTTTTCAAGTGACAAGTGCTTGAGAAACGTTATTTAAAAGGATTTCAATACTATTTATAATTAAAATAACTAATAACGTTACTAATGATTAATACAAATTAATCATGTTTTCCGATCATATCCATAGGACATCCTTTGGAGATCCATAGGATATCCCCGTGGGGCATAAAAACTATCAAACTCTAATTTTTTACCATTTTATTATAATAATAATAATAATAATAATAATAATACACCTGCTTACAATAATGGTAACTAGAGGTCGTCCAGTGGTCGAAACTCGACCAAAAATGTGCAATGTGCGGACTTCTCTATTTTCACACCACACTGTGAATAAAACATGTGATTGGAGTTTCTTCAATTTGTTTTTTATTTTCTGTTTATATTTCGTTGTTATTTCGTCACCAGCATGGCAACCCATAAGATCCATGTTAATTTTTTCAAAATTGTAAATTCATTTTCTGTGCTTGTTTTTGAGCCTATTTTAATTTGTAAAGGAATTCTGCACACCTACAGGAAAATAGCTTTCTAACTGTATGCGTAGATTTTCCCTACGATGCACGAGAAAAAAGGTTTTAAAGAAACATGCTTGCCTATTAATATAGATGGATGGATAATGCAAATATTTTCTTTTTAATTTAAATTCTAACTTATTTGAGAAAATGTATTGGTTGAAAATTTATGGGGAAATATTAATTATACATATAACAATTATAATCTACATTCTTATTACAGTATCCTCTACAACTCCCAGAAAAACAATTTAACAACTTGATGCCTAAACCGAATCATAGTATCAAAAATATTTAAGTATTGCGACCATTTCAGCTGTCGACTCCTCTTTAACCGCTTGAAAACTAGCAATATCAACAATCACAAATAGCTCAGGAGGTAAGGAAAGAGTTCCATAAGTCAAAGGTACCCGGTTCAAAACTTGTTTGGGGCAAAAATATTTTTGTTTCTATTTTTTTCCTAAATATGTTTTTATGTGCTACTAGCAGAGTCCGTCCTTCGTACGGGATTGGCAAATAAGTATAAACTGCTTATTGCATTTATACTCAAGCTTTGCGTTTACAATGGGGGAGGACACAGTTTGATAAAATTTCTTTCTTTTAGCGAATTTCCCTATAGGGAAGTAGCTATTACCGTAGGTCTCATGGTAAGACTTAGGCCCGGGACTGATTTACTTTTTCATTTTGATGTCCCCAGAGGCCAAAAACACAATTCGTTCAAATTTTTATATATGTATATATATATATATATATATATATAGGTATATATATATATATATAGATTTATATATATATATATGTGTCCGTGAACACGATAACTTGAGTAATTTTTATCCGATTTTGATGAAATTTGGTTTGAAGGTGTAAGGCGGGATAAACTTGAATGAGTTCGCGATCCAGCATGATCGGACCATGGGAACAGGGTTTTATGGGGGGTTTTATGGGGTAAAAATTGGTTTTTATCACTTTTGACCCTCAAAACACAACATTTCCCAATTTTTCTCTAAACCTTCTTAAAGAGCTTAAAAAAACAAACAATTCAGTATATCAAAGTGTTTTTGTACGGTTATTGGTTACGGAGAAAACTAAAAAAATGGTAAATTTAAAATTCCCATGTTATTCTTATGGAGAATATTGTAAAATGTTGTAGTTTGCTTGTTTATGGATATATTTTGATCAAACTTGGCAAATTTATTTATTTTGTAGTAAGCTATCAATATTTTACTAAAAACACAATTTATTAGTTTCCTTGTAGCAGCAAACCTAGGTACTCGTTAAACCTACTCGTTTCCTATATGCTTTGTTAAATGTAGTTGAGTAAGGTAGGCATAAAAATTCATGTTTTCTTTCTTCTTTCTTGACATGTTGGTTTTTCATGCCTGCTTTTTTCTTTATCATTTTTTCTACGGTTTTGCTGCTGTATCCATGACTCTTTGCTAATTTTGTGATATGTTCCTTTTCTTCAATAAAGTCTTCGTTACTCATGGGAATGTTGATAAGTCTATCAATATACGAATGGAATGTTGCCATTTTGTGTTGCCAGGGATGATTTGAATTTGCTGGGATGATGAGATTGTTTTCAGTAGGCTTTCTAAAAATTTTAAATTTATGTAAATTGTTTTCTTTGGTTATAGTCAAATCTAAGAAATTGATAGATGAATTTTGAACTTCTAATGTGAATTTAATTGATTTTGAAATCGTGTTCAAGTATTCCAATAGTTGATTTGGTGTATGGTTGTCAATGTTAAATAAGCATATGATGTCATCAACATACCTGTACCAATATATGATATCCTTCAGCATTGGGTTGACATTGTTAATGATTTTTTCGTTTTCTATATGCTGCATGTAAATGTTGGCTAATAAACCAGATAGTGGTGAAGATAGTGGGGCTTATCAATTAAAATTTTTGAGTTTCCCCCAAAATCCCCCATTTTGGGTTTGGAAACTTATGAGAATTTAAACATATAGACTCATATATATATACGTCCGTGAACGCGATAACTTGAGTAATTTTTGTCCGATTTTGATGAAATTTGGTTTAAAGGTGTAAAGCGGGATAAACTTGAATGAGTTCGCGAACCAGCACGATCGGACCATGGGAACGGGGCTTTACGGGGGGTTTTATGGGGTAAAAATTGGTTTTTCTCACTTTTGACCCTCAAGACACAAAATTTCCCGATTTCTCTTTAGACCTTTTTAAAGAGCTTAAAAAAACAAATAATTTAGTATGTAAAAGTATTTTTGTTCGATTATTAGTAACGGAGAAAATTTAAAAAATTCTAAATTTAAAATTCCCATGTTATTCTTATGGAGAATATTGTCAAATGTTGTAGTTTGCTTGTTTATGGATACATTTTGATCAAACTTGGCAAATTTATTTATTTTGTACTAAGCTATCAATATTTTACTCAAAAACACACTTAATTAGTTTCCTTGTAGCAGCAAACCTAGGTACTCGTTAAACCTAATGTTATTAAAATATATTTAACTGAAAATCAATTCAGACAAATGGAAATTCGCTTAGTCGGCAGGTTTGCTGCGGCGGGGGTATTTATGGTATACTATAGTATACCGTAAATAATCTATGGCTATAGTAATACCATCTACCATAGCCATAATGTTCTACCCCTTCAGCCAAACAATTAGAGAAAAATAAATTATTAAAGATTCCCAAAATATCACAAATTATTCATGAAATTAAAAACATAAACATTACTGTAACTTAACAGTGCGTCATCCGCAAAGAACCAACATTGTCCTCTTTTGCATACTGACCCGTTGCAAGGCATGGGTATAGCTGCTTTTAAATTGTAATGCTTGATATGACTTAGCCTGTTGTACAATATGTATTTAATGGCAAAATAAAATGATTTATGATTTATGCTAGTCTATGATAAAACATACTTAGATAAGAAAATATCTGACAGCAATATTTTACAGGGGTGAGAATGGGTTTATGCTTGCGTTATACAGCGTCACAGGGGTAAGTGGGGAGGAGGTCGAGGAGGAAAGTGTTTATAGAAAAAAAGTGGTACGTAATAGGTTATGTGACCCCTTTTATATTGTAAATTTTGAGTCACTTAGACTAAAGAATTCAATAATCCTTTATAAAACCTTTCTCTTGTACAAAATTAATTGTAAAAACACAACACTGAAATTACCACCTAAAAAATCTATTATTGATGCCATATTAAATTTATAACTTTTATATCTAGTAGGAAGCAGCCATAATGAATTAGTGTACACTGTACCATAGATAAAACATGACCACAGACAATATAATACTTTAATGTTTCCATTGTCTGTGACATGACTGTACACATCAGTAGTACATCAACGCTGCCTGGCAAATGAAACCACTGCCTGCTTAGCAAACATGAGGAAAAAAACTTGTTTACTTTCCCTTTTCATTTAAATGTAAATTGCGAAAGTATAGTATTGTTTGTGTTGTGTTTTATATTTAGTGTTTACAGTTTATTACTTTATTTTATTTTCGCCTTAACAATTGCCATCTTGGGGTCATTTTTTTACCAAATTATTCTATTGTGATTAGCCCAATTTTACCGCGCTCTAACTTATTTCCTAATGCATATGATAGTGATAGTGATTGTTCAGTGAGAATAGTGAGATGGTTTACACTTATGCCGCAGTTAGCCTATGTGATGTTATGTTGAAATTAAAAATAGCCTAACACCAATTCGTATAGCCTATAAGGATATCAGGAACATTCTCAGGCCTTTCTATTTCATAGTGAAGGTAAGTTTTTCGTCCATTCCCTCTCGTTAAGATGAACCGAGAAAATTAAATCAGCAAAAGTCTGATAAACTTGGGCTAAGTTATGTTAGGTATCACACTCAATTTCGCATTATCGAACATAAAATTATTGATTCTATTCTCCATTATAAATACTACATAATTTGCCTTCAGGATTCATTAATTGAAGTAGCCTAAAATGAGGTTACTACTTACCCGGTTATCAATCAATCCTAGCCTATATTTGTCGTAGATGACTACAGGCCAAATTTTTGAGGCTATCCCCATTTTAAAATCTTTCTCTTCAGTCGTCATTTACAGTATATTTTGTACCTAGGGTTGAAAATGAGGTTTTGCCGGCTCGAGATAGTTTATAAGTTCGAGACAAAGTCGAAAACTTAAAACGATAGAGCGTTGCAAAACCATTTCGGTCCGTTGCACGAACACTATTTTTCACCACACTATACCCTAAACTTATGAGGCCTATCACTATTCACCACAATAATAATACACTTTGATAGTCAACACAACTACGACTTTAAGGTTATGTGAAGAATTAATTTGAGGAATTATCAGCAAAAATAATAATAAATAGTTGCTGGGCAGCGGTGACAATAAAACAATTCTATTGCAACGATTGTTGGATAACGATTGTTTATTTACCTTAACTTAATATGCATTCATGTGTTGAAAGTAAGCGGGCAGCTGATTTTGCGGCCCTAGGGATGTAAAAACCTGCTCGATCGAAGTTTATAAGTTTGTTTTTAGCCTCGTTAGACAATGTAGAATGTTAATTTAAAATTTTCTTTCAATATATCTAACGTTTCATCGATTGGCACGAAACTGCAGTAGTGACAAACTACGCAAGGACCATATTGGCAGAGGTAAATGAAACCATTATTATTGTTGCTGTATGGTCCAGAGGCTACCCATCATGAAATTGAAGATTTACCTTTTGAACTATTTGCCATTTTTACCATTTACCATCCGGTGTCTTCTCCACAATCCAGGGATCGGGGGCCTATTCATGTCTCATGTGTTGGAAGGTGTGCTCTTTGACGAAGTCGGTGACTGTGTATTATGGCCTATCTGTTAAGTATTGCCTCAGTTTGCTTTGAAGGTGACATGTTTTTTGATTGTTTTGAGTTGTGGTGGTAATAAATTGAAGAAGTAGGAGCCAGAATAGTGAGGGCTATTGTTGAATTCCTGCAATCGATGTTGTGGCAAGTCTATGTTATGTGTTGCGGAGGTTGTATGAATGTTGTTCTGATCTTAGGGTAGGTATTGATTTTTTGCGAGTGTGATGGATTCCAACAGGTACAGGGAAATGACTGTAAGGATTTTGTGGTCCCTGGAAATAAGCTTGCAGTGTTCATGCGATTGCAGTTGAAAGATTGTCCTTATGGTCTTCTTTTGTATGGTGAGGATGCATTCCATGTTTGTTTACGTATAGTTTGTTAGAATGTGGAGGATGTTAGATTAAGCGTGCTTAAGCCCAACTACTTTTAACTTATGAATTGTAAAATTATTAAATAAGTTTATGATTAATTTGAGGAGTAGAATAAAATATATCAATGCATTTTATAGTTAATAATTTGTGTATGTATAACAAATAGTTTACAAAATTCAATACTGTTAACAATACATCAACTTAGGCCTACTAAACACCTTTAATTCTGGGCAGCTACCATATTGCACTTTGATTAATGTTTCATATTTTTTTTCTATTTATAACTTTATATTCATTATGACACTAAAATCACACAGTAGGTTAATTTATAATCTCAAAGAAGAAACATATAAGATGCACCGGTACCGGTACTTAAAGAAGTAGGAATAAATGTTAAAATAAATGGTATCAGCAATCTGACACATACTTTCTCCCATTAGCTTGTCAATGACTCATATCATGGGCAAGCGGTAGAAGTAGTTAGCCTACCTATGGTTTTTTTTTTTTTTAAATCACTAAAGTTACAATAACTTTTGGAACATAATATTTACATTATTTTGGGTTGTACCATTTTGATTAGAGTTAAAAGGACCATGACATACTAAATTTTAACCAAAACTGTTCAGGCCGTTGCTGTAAAAATCCAACTTTTCTGTTATGTTAGGTTTTTATGGGAAAATCTCCATTAACAAATTATACAAATTTCAGAAAAAATAAAAACACCTGATGATACCATAGATTAAATACGCACATACCAAATTTCATCATAATCGGACCACAGGTGTAGTCTGTAGCTCTGGACACAACACACACATCTGTACTTTCTTCATATAGGTACTAGTACTTTGTTTAGGGGAGAAAGTGATATATATCATTTGAGAGGGCTGTGTAATCTGGATATTATTTGCTCTTCAGTTGTTGTGATTTCTTAATTTCTACTCTTGATTCAGGTTAGGTTTAGTAGGTTACCACTGACTACTATTCTTCTATTGAATTCTTGTTTGATAGTGAATTCCGAAAAACGATCTTTGAGTTGGAGGAAGACCATTGAAACTAGACAAGTGGCCTCAAAAGATTAAAATCGGGCTTACATAGTGCACAATGCACGTCAATACAAAATATTTGGATAGCGTCTCGGAACTTTGGTGCATGATATTGTAACAAAAAGAACATGAATAATAAGCAAGACTCTTAGGCCGAGGTCTGGAAATGAATTTAAAGAACATTGACTTTGTGTGTACCAAATAAGGTGTAAATATTTCAGGGGTAGAATTTCAATAAACCCCAAAAGTTGTGTCTTTCAAGAGCACGTTGTGTTCTGTGAACAATTCACAACCCCTTACATTTTCCTATAGGTTTTTTTTTATACTTTACTACCTTTCAAATTTTGTTTACTGTTTGAAAAAAAAACATGTTAAATCCATGGTAGGTAATTACCATGTAGGCCAAGCTTGTTTGAGTTTATATAATTGGACAACTATCAATATTTTCCCCTTTATACTTGGTAAAGTCAGTAATGCTGGACTGGTGACTCCAGGATACTTCTCTGATGCAACCTTGAAACATTTCTTTGAATGCACCGAAGGTTTCCTCAAGTGTTGATCTCTTATTGGGAAATCCACCTGCAACATGAAGGCAAATATCAATAGTGGTCTACCTAGATATGTTACTATGGAATCCTTATTAGACTAATTAGACATTTCTTGGACATAAAAAACTACTTTTACTAGTTAACACTAGTTTATGTAGTGATTGCGTTATTAATTAAACTATTTTCTATAATAGACAGCAACATATATCAACGGTTCGAATACCTTCTTCGTCAGGACTGGTATACAACTAATCATGAGTTCTGTAGGCAGTCTTTGGCAGAGCTACATGGGAGGGGTTCATTGATAATAAACTAATTTGCTCGGATGAAAGGATGAGAAAGGCTCATGCTATAAAATATATTAATAATTTTGAACATCTATGTACAAATTAAATATTAGGAGAGCCTTTTTGAAACCTAAAATGTTAAAATTGGCTTAATACTTATATACCCCCGTCGCAGCAAACCTGCATACTAAGCGAATTTCCATTTACCCGGCTTGATTTCTACTAAAATATTCCCTATAAATTTTCAGATTTGTTTCCTATTTAAATAACATTAATTTTAGTGAGTACTGTAGTTAGGTTTGCTGTTACGGGGAAGATGTTGAGGTGTGTTTTATCAATTGAAATATTGATAGCTTAGTGTGAAATAAACCAAATTGCCAAATTTGATTAAAATATATCCATAAACAAGCAAACTAGAACAGTTTATTTATTCTCCATAAGAATAACATGGGAGTATTAAATTTACAATTTTTTAATTTTTCTCCGTAGTCAATGAACATTCAAAAACACTTCAATATACTAAATTATTTGTTTTTTTAAGCTCTTCAAAATGGTCTAGAGAGAAATTTAGAAAGTTAAAGTTTTTAGGGTCAAAAATGAGAAAAACCCATTTTTACCCCGTAAAACCCCCCCATAAACCCCTGATCCCATGGTCCCATTATGCTGGTTCGCGAACTCGTTCGAATAAATGTAGGTTTACACGTTTGTACCAAATTTCATCAAAATCGGATCAATTTTGCTCGAGTTATCGCGCTAACGGACACATATATAAATATATATATATATATATATATATATATGAATTTGAACGGATAGTGTTTTTGGCCTCTGGGGACCTCAAAACGAAAAAGTAAATCGGTCCCGGGTCTAGGTCTTACCATGAGACCTACGGTAATAGCTTATTCCCTATATGGGAAATTCGCTAAAAGAAAAAAGTATCAACCAAAAGTTATTGCTAATACTGAATTATATTAGCTCCATGCTGTAATTTAATGTCAGTGGGGAGCGAGCTGGTCTAATGGTTAGAGCGCGGGACTCCAGTCCCTGAGGTCCCGGGTTCGAATCCCACCAATCACCAATGGATTTTATCTAAGTGATAATGCCGCAACCCCTAGGTCTAGCCTGAAGTAATGTGAAAACAATCCCGGGCTCGTGCCTAGCGTCCTAGGACAAAAAAAACAAAACAAAAAAAATTTAATGTCAGTATGTCAGTTACTTACCCAAGTGCATGACTCCGTCAGTAGTTACAGGACGATGTCCTGTGTTAGGGTAGGTGAGAGGGTCGCCTCTGTCACACCAGATGGTTACATTGTCATGAGTCATGCTGATCGTGATGTCATGCCAGTTACCGTCAGACACCACAGGAGTTGCTATTGTTGCTACGCTAGCCTCCATGTCTTCCCATGACCAAGTCACTTTCAGGCGTCCATCTTCCAACCCCACTCCCAAAAACTCTTTTTGCTGTAAAATTTATTAAGTATTGATTTTTTAATGTGTTACGCATTGAAATTTATTGACTAGTCTTAAGAACTAGTATTTAAGACGTTGTTAACAGATGTAGTTCTACACCTCTAAGTGTAGAAACTTATGACAGTAACTAGTAATTTTCTTATCCAGCAGGTTTGCGATTGATACAGTCACGAATCATGGCGTTATTTTGAGTTTTTTGTCTTTGAACTATTTCGACCACTATTCTTGTACATTACCTGGGCAGTCCACAGCATGACCCCGTCAGGATGGGCAGTAGAAAAGTTTATAAACAAGAAGTCAATGTCCTTCTGTCGTTGGCCTCGGCTGTCCTGGCCTCGCTTGATGGGGCTGCTAGTTGGGGCCAGCATTAGGTAGCTGTCTCCACTAAAGTGAGGGGAGCCCTTGGGCAGAGCTGCAACAAAAGTCGCTTTGTATTTATAGTTGTTGATTGAATGGTTGATATCCTTATAAGGGAGTGTTTGAAAGTTATAATTCTGGTCATTTCTAGATTTTCTTATTCTGTTAAGCTGAATTGGTTGAGGTATATTTAAAAGGTTGACAAAGTACTGGAAACTATTTCCTCAATAATTAATTGGTAGGGTAGTCAAACTAGCTGATCTGCCAACATTTTTAGCGAATTTCCCATATAGGGAATAAACTATTACCGTAGCTCTCATGGTAAGACCTAGACCCGGGACCGATTTACTTTTTCGTTTTGAGGTCCCCAGAGGCCAAAAACACCATCCGTTCAAATTCATATATATATATTTATATACAGGGTGTTTGTGAACTCTCTCGAAAAAAATCACAGGATTATTCCTTGGGTTAATACATGAATATTTTACATTATAAACATGGGTCGCCGGAGCCTCGTTTTCCGTCTGTCTGTCTGTATGTGTTTTTTATAAATAACCTTATAACTCGAGTTTGAATCAAGGTACAAACTTTAAATTTGACACACTTGTGTACTTTAACGTGGTACACAAACATGGAAAATTTCATTTTGTTGACTATAGCCGTTTCAAAATGGCGGCCATCTAAAATCTTTGACCTCAAATTACATGAAAACCACTAGAGCTACAAAAAAAACACAAGAATAACAAAATGTGGAAAATTTTATGCCAAATCAAATGACACATAGATCTTAAAGATCGGACAACAAACAGCTGAGTTATTAATTTTTTAAATAATTAATAATTTCTTTACTGGCTTTTAATTGTTGTTTATTCTTTAAAATCATCTGATCCTTTCTAAATTGTTACAACAATGTAAGACAGCTGGTTGGACAGATGATTTTGAGATGATGATCAGATGGTTTTTGGAGTTATTAGTTTTTTAAATAACTAATAATTTCTTTCCTGGCTTTTAATTGTTATTGTTTATTCTTTAAATAATCTGATCCTTTCTAAATTGTTACAACAATGTAAGACAGCTGGTTTGCCCTAACAACAACATTTAGTTTTTTTACTAGATGGTAAATGTATTAAGTGTCCTATTTTTACCTTAACTATTGAGATCTGTTTAAGGTTACGTAATGTACTCTGTATCAGATGATTTTGATGAATAAACAATAACAATTAGAAACCAGTAAAGAAATTATTAATTATTTAAAAAATTAATAACTCAGCTGTTTGTTGTCCGATCTTTAAGATCTATGTGTCATTTGATTTGGCATAAAATTTTCCACATTTTGTTATTCTTGTGTTTTTTTTGTAGCTCTAGTGGTTTTCATGTAATTTGAGGTCAAAGATTTTAGATGGCCGCCATTTTGAAACGGCTATAGTCAACAAAATGAAATTTTCCATGTTTGTGTACCACGTTAAAGTACACAAGTGTGTCAAATTTAAAGTTTGTACCTTGATTCAAACTCGAGTTATAAGGTTATTTATAAAAAACACATACAGACAGACAGACGGAAAACGAGGCTCCGGCGACCCATGTTTATAATGTAAAATATTCATGTATTAACCCAAGGAATAATCCTGTGATTTTTTTCGAGAGAGTTCACAAACACCCTGTATATATTTATATATGTGTCCGTTAGCGTGATAACTCGAGCAAAATTGATCCGATTTTGATGAAATTTGGTACAAACGTGTAAACCTACATTTATTCGATCGAGTTCGCGAACCAGCATAATCGGACCATGGGATCAGGGGTTTATGGGGGGTTTTATGGGGTAAAAATGGGGTTTTCTCATTTTTTACCCTAAAAACTTTAAATTTCTAAATTTCTCTCTAGACCATTTTGAAGAGCTTAAAAAAAGAAATAATTTTGTATATTGAAGTGTTTTTGAATGTTCATTGACTACGGAGAAAATTAAAAAAATTGTAAATTTAAAATTCCCATGTTATTCTTATGGAGAATAAATAAACCGTTCTAGTTTGCTTGTTTATGGATATATTTTAATCAAATTTGGCAATTTGGTTTATTTCATACTATGCTATCAATATTTCAATTGAAAAAACACACCTCAACATCTTCCTCGTAGCAGCAAACCTAACTACTCACTAAAATTAATGTTATTTAAATAGGAAATAAATCTGAAAATTTATAGGGAATATTTTAGTAGAAATCAAGCCGGGTAAATGGAAATTCGCTTAGTATGCAGGTTTGCTGCGACGGGGGTATTACAAGATTAAGTTATTTATTTGGTCATTGAACATGAATAGTAATATCAGACCATCAGAATAGCCAGTAATAGGCCACGTCAGATTATTAAGTTAGGATATAAAAAACATTACATATCAGGTACATGGTGTAGACATTTTTCAATTGACTAGATTAAAGGTGGCTATAACATTCAAGCTGTAAATACTATACACAAAGGAAATAACATATGCCAGTGTTTTCCAGGGTGTATTCATGTTGTGCATCAGGCTTCACCAGTAGTTTAGTAGGCGGGAACGGCATTCCCACAAGGGTTTTCTCCAAAATACCTATATTGCTAGGCAACCCCTGACGATTGGGAGCATTCCTGCCCTCGAAAATTTACGACTACACCACTGGGCGCTATATAAATCATTGACACCTTAACTATTATCTATGTTTACTACCTATCAAGCTCTTTTGAGTTTGAGTTAGCCTAGTACTCTTTAGTACTATTTCTGATTTTACCTTGAGAACAGAATGGTCCCTCCCAACCAATAGGACACTGGCAGTTAGGTTTGCTGCCTGGGTTCTTGATGCATAGTCCTCCATTTTCACAGGGAAGGTCAAGGCAGGAGACTAGGGACTCACACCTTTCCCCAGCATACTCCTAGAAAGATACATTTTAAAAATTAAAAGTTTTTCAGATAGAGAAGATTGATTAAGCATGTTGTACTGTGCATGATGAGCCATCATTTTGACTGATCAACTGTTCATAGGTAGGCAATTTCCTTTTACTACATTATCAAAGATTTTCAAGTACCTGAGTGCAAGTACAGTGAGGCTTGAGTGATGTGTCAAGCCAACAAGTACCACCGTGCAGACACACATCCCCTCCACACGCCGTTCCGTCACAGTCATCTACATTTCGGGCCGACAACACAGTTGACTCTACGAGTGCTACAGGTCGCCAGTTCAGTACCACACGGCGGACACAGCCAGTCAGCGGCACTGGCAACCCAACCACGGCACCTGACGGTAGCTGCGATAAGTCTGGCACTCCTCCTGTATGGAAAACAGGCAAAAATCTCAGTGATTGAGAACAAGACTGAGAGACAAACAAGAAGTAGCCTTTACACCACCAGTTCAGATAACTGCATTCAGTTAAACTGTGTACTGTTAAACTGATCGTTGAAATCTTTGCAAAGCAAAGTAAAAAAAATTGTGTGTACGTAGAATGAAATTTGATTCTCACCAAGAAAAATTGGATGGTCAGTAGTCAGCAAAGCTTCCCCTTGCTGAAGAGATGCAGTAGTGACTGCTCCATCCACGTAGAGGAACACCCGGTTACCATAGCGACCTGCGCGCACTAAGTGCCACGTTGCAAGAGATAACACTCGTCCACTGCGCACCACCAGTACCTCTCCATCCTTCCTTTGGCCTCCTGTGACATTCAGTTAAAAATTGACATTCCTTGTAGGAGATTTCCAATACAAATATATTTGTCTTCTCCAAAGGGACTCGTAGTTAAAGACTATTGTTGACTGGGAGAAAGCTGGTCTAGTTGTGTAGTGCAGGTCACAAAATAATCACTAATGTACAATGTCTTAATGCAACAACTCACTAGGCCTAGCCTGAAGTAATTCGTGATATGCTTCCAGGCTTGAGCCCAGACTCTAAGGAATTGAAAAAGGACTTACAAATGTTAGTTTTATCGTCAAATAATCTGACAAAAATCTTTAAGAATAAAATCAAAATTTGTTTGGGAGAATGGCCCTGCAAACACTCTTTTCATCATTTGAGAAATTTATCACCATCTTGATGAATTATTGTGAGAGCATTTTGTATACCATTATTCAAGGATTTAACACAATTTGTATACTTTTTTGTGTATATTCTTAATGACAGGTACAATCCACTCTTGAAGACAAATATTTTAAGGGATAAAACCTTGTTTACTGAGTAGACATTTTGATTGTATTAAGCAGACCCAGAGAAGGTTGAAATTATTAGGAAAGTCGATTTTGAGAAAAATGAAATAAGGTCCAACAGCTGTTGGGAATCACCGAGAACCTAAGGTGGATGGACTGAGTGAAGGGTTGCTACAACATGCCAAGATGTTGAGGTAGCCATTCCCCAACTGTATTTATACCTATACCTATTGTGATATTCACAAGACTCTTCCATGTGGTAAAGATTTGTCTACAAAGTGATGTAGGTACATGGAAAGTAAATATTTATTGTCTAGTTTCAATATGAACCAGTTTACAAAACTAATGTTGGGCTTCCAATTTTGATGAACTTACCAATAGTTTTGAGACGCAGCTCCAGTATGCCACCATGCATGGCTATAGATAGGAACGTTGTGCTGTGGGGATGTCCTGTAAAGAGCACGAGTCCTCGGTCCTGGGACGGGCGTAGTTCAAACTCTATACACATCTGATACTGATGTAAATCAGCTGGTGGGATGGATAGATACGAACGACGTCCCGTGAAGCTGATATCCGTGGGCGTTTCTTCTACAATTGAGTTGCAAATTATGTAGTCGTATGAGGTGGGGCAATCACTATACAATTTATAAATAACACAAAACCTATAATCTTTTTACACTACAGATAGGCCTGTAAAAAACACATCAAAACAAAGGTACCATTTTGCCCTGGATAAGCCATTATTTTGTAGCTTGGAAAACCCGTAAAATATTCTTTAAAGCATTTCTTGAGGAATTTATTTAACCTCTTTGCCAAAAGATCTCATAAAAATTTAAAGTGCCAAGGACTGCTTCTTGGCGGACCCCTTTGTACTTTGAGTGCCTGCGGCTCGTACTCTCCCCACATTGGCTGGTGTGTGAACATTTTTATGGCTTCCACCAATCTTTTTTTGGGTTGACGCCGTTCTTCTAAATACAGTAATAATATCCAGTTCCCTATTGTAAACCGACTCGGAAAGCCCCACTTCGATTAATTTTGAAATGCTTCCTAAACAGTCTATCTGTTTTTATAAAATAATCATTATTCTAAAAAAAAACGTTTCCACAGCACTCTGTATTTTATAGAAAATTATGTTATGATGGTATTTTGATACCTTCTTAAACATTTTGTAGTTGCATGATGCTGTATTCTTGCTTCAACGTATTTTGTTTCCACATCTTCTATCATTTTCCAACTTTGTTTGGATTCTGTTTGAATTTATTATGTTTAAGCTGTTTAAGTTAGACAATTAAGTTTTACATGTACATCTCACAGTTTAACAATATGACTTTGGAAACATCAAAGCATTACGTGGACCAAGCTGTCTTTGATTATTGAGCATTTAATAAACAGTCCTGGCAGAGGAGAGAGCTCATCTTAGTTAGTAAAGTCACACAAGGCATTTCACCCCTTTAAACGCTCACGCTTCTTTCATATTTGGTTAAAATATGCCCATTTCCCAGTTGCATCCCTTCATATTTGGTAATAATGAGAAAAATTACCTAGTACCTATGTTATAAAAGAATGAATGTTTCTCGGAAATAGTATAAAATACGATAATAGTTCATAGAATACGAGGGTCTATTATTCAACTATAAAGCGCTACTTCTGTACCATATTACCTTTCTCACAAAACTGGCCAGTGTGGCCGAAGGGGCAGTCACACTGGTAACTTGTTTCTAGAGGAACACAGGTAGCTCCGTTAGAGCAGTTGTGTTTGCTGACATCGCAAGGATTGTAGCGCAGAGCACACACCGGACCAAACCACCCGTCCTTACACAGGCATCTGAAATTATGAATATAGTCAAATAAATCTTCCAACTTCTTTCATTCGTTTAGGCCTACTTGTTTCCATAAACCTAAATGCTGTTTGAGTTCAAACTCCTAAGACAATCGGTTTTAAAGTATATTTTTTAAAACTTAAACCTTTTTACTGAATTTAATATTAAATAAGTCTGTAAAAAAATATATTTTCAATACTTACGTGAACGTTGCACCCTGGTCTAGGCAGGCTCCTCCGTTAAGACAAGTAGTATTGTGACAATGGGAGGTCCCACACTGTCCCACGTTCCGTCCCACAATGGCTTGGGACCGCACTTGTCCCACACTCACGCTGACTCGTCCCGCACGGAACTCCACCCCGTAAATACAACCCGTGAACCCTGTGTGCAGTGGAAGGTCGTGCGGCAGGCCAGTGAAGTTAACAAACTTGTGACCTCCTGTAAATCGAAACTTAAGTAACTCTGGCTTGGTTGGGAACCCTTCAGAAATATTTTGTAATGGTGTTTGTAGTTATTTATTTAAAGTTCATTGCTGATGATGGTGAGTTATAATAGAATTGCTAAATATGACACTGAAACACCAGGTACTGGTACATATTATAAGGCGAAGACGAATGGAGGATGAGTGTTGAATGAAATGGTAGCCTTGTTACTGCGTAAAATCTGTTGGTTGATGAGTTACGACTATTTATTGAAAGGTCAATGATGAGGACAGTTAGTACGTTCTTGAACTATGAAAAGTTTCTACATTTTCTCAAGATCAAAACAGTGTCATTCTGACTAAAGCCACTCACCTACTAACACAGTTGCTGCATCTACCCCTAGCTCAACTTATGTTGTTTAATGGTTAAATGTGCAATTTGTAACAATGTGTATTTCTATTAACCGAATGCTGATGGAAAATACTAGCAATAACGTTTGAAACAACATAAAAGACTTACCATTGCCAAAAATGAATTTAAAAAAGAGTACTGGTAATAACTACGATTGAAATGTAGATCAACATTACCAATGTATACAACAGATCTTGTGTTGAGCTCAGTCATGTGACCGGGCGATGTGCCAGTGACGTTGTCGAGGTTGTCTACCTGTAGCCAGGCCTGTCGTCCGCTACGGCCTAGCTTGACCATGTGGACGGCTCCGGCCTTGTTGACTACAGCTCTGGGAGTGAAGATACGTCTCGGACCTGTCAAAATGTTTCCCCTTTTAGACAAAGTAGACATTTTACAACTACTGTATTGCAAAACATAAGAACACCCCTGACTTAGGAGTAATCAAATGTACTGATGGGCTGTCGATAATTGTAGGTAGACTGAATTACTAATTTTAATTCAAATGTGACATAAATATTGAAAGTTTAACATGGTATGTGTAAAACAGATTTTTGGCATACTAAAACAGAGCAAGTGCTTTTAGTCACAACCATAACTTATTGATTGACCATGCATCTGTTCACCATTGCCTTTGTAATGAAGAATGTTTTATGCAATGAAATACTTATGACTTATCTTGAAGCCCAATGGAAGGATAGCTTACCTGAGCCTAGATTCCACGTCAGGACGATGTATCCCTTGATGTAACTGACAGCTAGATGGTCTGATGAGGAGTCATGGTCGTGTTCTTGGCCGACAAACAACAGCAGAGCCACTTGATCCATAGACTGGGTTACGAAACGAAACCTGCCTCCATTCAATATTCATCAATTTCACACTATTAATTAATTTTGAAATAGCATTAGGATTTGAAGAACTTAAAACTGTATGAAAATGTAGTTTTTTCTTTCAATTCCATTGGCATTTCCTAAAGAAACCAAATAGTTGGAAGATCTTATCCCTTTACTGGCTTACTCCCTTACTCCCTTGAAGGCAGTTGAGGTAAAAAAATACATGAAAAAGTTTATATTACTACTTCTACAAAACAACCATTATAGTTGTATTTTACAACCTGTCCTCAATTTGTTGCCTTGTAAATGAGTCAAGTCTCTGTCATACCTAAACTCAAAGTTGTGTTGCATTGCTCCTGGGACTGGATATGCGGAGAATGACGCCAAACCTCTCACTGAGGATGTATACAATGGATGGCCAATCTCCAAATCTGCCAATAAAAAGAAACACATCATGGGCATGTAAACTTTCGGTTATTCCTCGTGTGAATAGGTGCTCAGTGTATTGTTGTTAATATTTTAAAAGGTTGGCTGAGTTCACTCTTAAAATTTAGCATACGAGGTGGTTATCTCAAAAATACTAGCTGCTACATTATCAATTATATGGCGTTTTTGTTTGGATAGTAGACTTACCTCAAAGCAAAATGGCTCACCCTAGCACAAGAAAGCTTAACTGTTAATTGTTTAAATATCACCATAGACAAAAATAATCAAATATAGACCTTCAGTCGTGCTGGGGTTACCATAGGTTCTGGCGCACACCGCTGGGAGCGCCATGTAGTTATGGCGTATGCACTAAATAACTACACAGCACTCCCAGCGGTGTGCGCCAGAACCTATGGTAACCGCAGCACGGCTGACAGTCTATATTTAATTCTTTTTGTCTATGATATCACTTAGAGCATTTTCACGTCAGGAAGATTTGAGTTTTTCTGTCCCAATTTAAACCTTCCTTAGGGATGTAACTTACAGCTTTGTTATGTAAGTTTAGTAATCACCTGTATTTTTATATTCACAAGCAATAGAGAAACGTACAATACCTTTTTGACAAAACAGTCCGTGTTTGCCAAATGGACAGAGACAGATGAACCCGCTGCCAGGGTAAGGAGCGCAGGTGCCGCCATAGCGACAGGGATTTGTCAAACATACTGATTGCTCACACCTAGGCCCCAAGTATCTACAAAACAAAAGCTTGAAATTAGTATACAAGACACAATATACATTGGTTGATTTTGAAAATTTTGAGGATGAAAATTTTTTAATGCACCAGCTGTGTGGATTTTAATGAACTTATTTGTTTATGCTTATCTAATAGACACAAAAACCCAAACTCTTTTAAAACAAGTCTTTGGTGGATACTCACATTAAGGGGTGAGCTTAATTAGATAGAATATTAAATATCCTGCAGTTTTAAAGTTTTACCAAGGAAAAATGATATCTGTTTTACTGGGTTAGTGCAGAGGTGAGTGGATTTACTAGTAAGATCCTATGTTGTTTTCACGGTTTGTATTGTCAAGTTCGTAACAATTTTTGTCTGGTTTGATGAAAATCATGTTTACACAAAAATATAGTTTGCACATCATAAGTTTGCTTACTCTAAAGATTTGTAGTGATGAGAGTACAGAAAAACTTCACTTAACTCGACACACTGTGACTCAAAAGTCAACAGCTGACATGGTGCAAGTCTAGCTGGATCTGTCTTACAATTGTGTTTGACTTTTCAAATTTTAATTGTTGAATATTCAACATTTCTTTGTAGATTCTTTACTTAATATGTAAAAGTACTCATGTAAGTAATAAATCTATTTGTAAAAATTAGTATGTCATGTATCATTTATTAAAACCCATTAAAAATGTCAATGTTGTATACAGGGTGTCCATAAAAAACGTTTCAGGACTTTGGGAAATGAATCCCCATACTAAAAGGAAGAAAAAAGTTTATGGGAAGGTATGTCCGAAAATGCATATTAACCCAGATATCCGCCATTTTGTTTTTTATACAAAAATATTTTTATCTGTGAAGTTTTTTATTCGACGATTATGAAATTTGGTATACATGTTAATATACACAAGACCTATAATAGAAAAAATAATAAAGTTGTTCCGATTATAAATTTCAAAATGGCGGCCGTTTGAATTTTTCTAACTTAAATTAACTCAAAAACGGCTAATTCTATGAAAAAATGTCATACTTTTTTTTAGCATTTTTAATTTCCTATCAAACAATACCAAGATCAAAAAGATCGGACAAAAGATAACTGAAATATAACGTTTTTTGTGTAAAAATAAGGCAAAGTTAGTAGAGGAACCCTTAATTTTTGCCTTATTTTTACACAAAAAACGTTATATTTCAGTTATCTTTTGTCCGATCTTTTTGATCTTGGTATTGTTTGATAGGAAATTAAAAATGCTAAAAAAAAGTATTCTTGACATTTTTTCATAGAATTAGCCGTTTTTGAGTTATTTAAGTTAGAAAAATTCAAACGGCCGCCATTTTGAAATTTACAATCGGAACAACTTTATTATTTTTTCTATTATAGGTCTTGTGTATATTAGCATGTATACCAAATTTCATAATCGTCGAATAAAAAACTTCACAGATAAAAATATTTTTGTATAAAAAACAAAATGGCGGATATCTGGGTTAATATGCATTTTCGGACATACCTTCCCATAAACTTTTTTCTTCCTTTTAGTATGGGGATTCATTTCCCAAAGTCCTGAAACGTTTTTTATGGACACCCTGTATAACTTCACAATCTCTAGGTCAACAAATTGTCAAGTTAGTGAGGTTCTACTGTATTGTAACCCAGATATTTACCCTGAGGGACATAAACATGTCCAAGAGTCGCCCATCTCAATACAAGTAGAGGAGCTGCGGCAAGGATTGGAGAGACAGGCGAGTGACGAACATTTGGAAACCTCCAACATGTCGACTGCATCAGAGTATATCTTGCGACTCTCTCCATCTACCTGCATTATATTAGGAATTTTAATAGGGTTTGTTTTGCATCTCAATCCACCTGTGATACAGCTGATGGTAAAAAATCTAAATATTTAAGATCTAAATAACTTTCTCAATTCTGGTACTCTTACTCGATAGATCTATCTAACTTATCCCACATCCAATCCTAAATCGAATGCATTTTTGTGAGGCATGATTGGTACTATGTTGTGATAACCCCTATATGTACTCTAAATATACGTGCCAGGTTTTAGGCACCTCCACCTGACTGTACTTTCCGATTGCTTTAGCGGCCTACATACCAGTATAGATGAAGTAATCGTATTAATTTATCTGCTCCCTCACCTGGTTATTGTATTGCCATACCTGTAGTGCTGTCATACAGCCAGTGATGCCTTGTGTAACAGGTATATCAAGGGATGTAGTGTGTGGAGGAACTCCTCCAAGGTAGAGCGTAGGTTGGTGAACGCTCCAGTTGACCGCTCGGCCACTCAACGCTCGCTGTTCGCCGCTCATTACCAAACTATCGTTGACTGCCAATGAAGCAGAGCAATGCTGATCCCCGATCGCTCCTTCTACTTCCAGCCTAGGCATTGGACAATTTCTTACATTTGAATAAATATAGTAGTGAATTGCCAATAAATTGATATTGAAAGACAGTATGGTGTGTTGCAAGATGTTTTCAACAAGGAGAAAAACAGTATAAGAATAAGAATATCTTTATTGTCATTAAATACAAACAAAAGTACAATAGACAACGTCAAAATAAATACAAAATTTCTATGGATAATAATTGTATACAGAACAATCAATATGTCAGTTTTGTTCCTTTTCAGTTTTGAAATAAACCATGTTATGTAATATTTGTATCTAAACTTTTATTCTTTTTCAGAGAGAATGGATTTCCTTTTGACAAAGTGCTTCTGAAATGAAACCATCAGTGGTAAGCTTATTATCGTTACTATTTTAAATCATTATTCTTTGATACCTTTTTAGTTATCAAAGAATAATGATTTAAGAATGACTTACTATACCACAAGTGTGAGAAACCTGTTGCTGGCACACCCATTGTTCTCAATCCAGGAGTTTTATAAAATCCCAAGTAATATTATAAGTAGCTTTTTTAAGACTTGAGTGATGTTTTGCAGTTTGCTTTTTATTTATTTGGGTTTGTAGTTAGCTGCATGGTGTGATTTGTTAAGATGCAAACTGTATATTTTCTGTACATTTTCTTTTTCAAAGAGTCAGATTCTTGAGCTACTTAACATTCGAGCAAATGTGAGTATAAGCCTATTTTGCGTGCTGTGTTTGCTTGGTTTTTCTTAGGTTAAGTTTTGTATAATGATTGTATATATTGACAATTGTATTTTTTGACGATGCCCATTGCATTTTGTACAGTGCTTAAAGGAAAATAAATCTCATTTCATTTAATTGTTAAAATCAACTGTTAACCCAGAGGTTAAAGTATTCATTTTGTACAAAAGGTACAAACAGGTTGTTGGTTGCTATTAGAGAATCCAGACAACTACAGAAGACTAAACCAAATTATTCTGGCTAAACCAGCTGATCAGTAGTAACAGGCTATGGATTGAAATGCTGGTCGTTAGGTTGTTGTAAGCTGTGCATTATTCTATAAGTTTATTTTTGTAATGTACCTACCGTTTTTGTGAGATTTATTTTGATGCATTTCATTTATCGAAATGAGTATTGGCATAGAGTAGGTACTTTGTACATCCAATGTTTTATGTGTCCAAAACAATCGTACTGCTAATAAATTAATAATTCTTCCAGGTGACGATAAGCAATATATTTTTTAATTGAATTGGAAAAGTAGTAACCCTCATAAATATCCAGATCAACGGGGATGTAAATCGGGTTAATGAAAGTACACAGATAGAATTAAATAAATTTAAAGAAAGAAAGTTATCATTATTTTAAAACTATTTGAGTACCCCTTGTATTCATAACTAAGCCGTAAGCCCTATAATACAAACTGCTGTCCGGATTTAGTAGTCTGCAGTAAAGAGATCTGGATTATTCAGGGTTTACTGTGTGTTAATAGCATGTACAAATATTTAATCTTACAGTGTATAAAAAATAAAATAAATACCGGTAACACAATTGCAGCTCAGTGTCTAGATTATGATTGAAATTTCTTAACAAATTTCTCATCCAATTATTACACTACCTCTTATAATTATAACACACCTATACCACTAAACATTTTCAAACAAAGAATACTATTTTTATGTTGTAACTTACATTGCACTAATGCTGAGTTTGAACCCAGTGTTAACGTACTCGTGGAGCTCACTGAACAACATTGTCTGGATGCCGCAAGTGAACACAAACTTAAGCAGTCCATTGTGTAGGTAGACAGCCATGTAGATATATGGAGTAGTTCTGGAAACAAAACTGATTGTCAGGAATTATAACATTCAACAGTTTAATTTGCGTTAAATCGTCAAACTCCATAATTCATTTATTGATTTAATATGCCAGATTTTATTTTAAATTTCCTCATCTTATAAGCACAAAAAATCAAATTACTTTTAAATGAAGTGTTTGGTTAACACACACAATACATGTAAGCAGAATGTATATCAGTAAGCAGAAAGTAGGGGGAGAGCAAGCTGGTCTAAAGGTTTGAGCGTGGGACTTCAGTCCCTGAGATGCCGGGTACAAATCCCACCAAATAACCAATTGATTCTATCTAAGTTAAATTTTCTCAACCCTTAGGTCTAGCCTGAAGTAATGTGAAAAATAATCCCGGGCTCGTGCCTAGCGTCCTAGGACAAAAAAAATACAATAAAAAACAAAAAAATAGTAAAATGTCTGATTTGAGGTGCAAATCCACAGAGAATTCACCCATTCTGTCAACTTCACCCAAGCTGTCCAACGTTTATTTTAGGCGAGCTTCTTTCACCAAACATAGGTGAACTCATGAGATACACTTCATAGGCTTCCAACCATTTAAATCTTATATTTGACAATAAACCATTTTACTCTTGTGTCTGAATCGACGGAATACATTCAAGATTTAACAGATTACTGAATAGATGAAGTATCACTTAGTGCATCTTCCTTACATTTTTGTAAAACATTTCCACCAACTGACCTGGCGTAAATAAGTAGCCCAGTAGGAGCCAGGGTGCGAAGCACTACGTTGACAGTAGAACCGCTTGTGTTGGCCAATCTGTGGGCCAGGTAGGAGTGTCCCGTGAAGGCTGCATCGTCAATGTCCTCCTGAACATCACACCTAGTTCCTGCCCAGCCTTGCCTGCATCTGCACTGTTGTGATGCATCACATTACATAACTGATGATAAACCTGACAAGTGACGTTTTTATAAAATAAGTTACAAACATATGTTTACACCATTTACAGCTACATTGCAAGGTATGCTCAGTTAAACGCAGAAACTAACCGTTTATATACATCAGAAACTAAGACTGGTGATAAATTCAAACCTTGATATACAATTGGCCAATCTGGACCCATTATTTTAATCACATGACATAAAGTGTCTACCTGTTACTACTAAGAACATTTACATGTTTTCTACATGATGAAACATTTAGTTATATTATGGTTCAGTGGTTCAAAATAGGAAAGTAAGTGTCATACTCTGTCTACTAATTGGACAAATTTCTTTAATTAGTTAGGAAATTTTTATCATCACCACGTTTGACAAATACCATTCTCCTTTCTGCCAAGAAGGTCTTTGCACCTATTGGATTGCAATGAACTAAACTCAATGAACTAAAGTCGATGAGCTCACCCTTGGTCCACTTGGGGAGTAGAAGCAAGTTCCTCCATTGAGGCAAGGGATTCTGCTGCAGTCGTAGGCTACCGTGGTGTCTGCAGGTTCTGAAGGCTCAGTAGTGAGGTAGACCGTGCTGTTGGGCAACTCGGACGAAGCTTCAGTCGATGACACTGTGTCGATTACATCCTCTGTTGTTACAATTATCGTTGTTCTTGGTGTAACCGTATCAACCAGAAATGGTTCCGACGTGTCCTCAACAGTAGACACTGTAGTATCTGCACTGAAAATCGTTGTTTCACTATCTTCAGTGGTAGAAGCTCCTGAGGAAATCTCTAAAATCCCACTTGTGATTGTTGTTTCAGTCACTACCTCATCAGTGATTGTCGAAGGTGTTTCTGTCTCTGTTTCGCTCACTGTTGAAGTAGATGTACTTTCTTCTGGTGCCACTGTTGATTGTTCTGTCGTTTCATCCGTTGTTGAAGTTTGTGATTCTGTTTCTAAAAAAGTGGTGAAAAACTCAGTAGTAGTGATAAATACTTGGGTGGTTGGCACAAGAGAGGTCGATGTTGAAGACGGAGTGGTGGTTGGAAGCGCTGTTGTCGAGGGTCGGACGTACGAGCAATCCAGGGTTGAGTCGTTCAACATCAGACATTCGCAAAACTGACCGGTCAAATCAGGGGGGCAAGAGCATGAAAAACTGTCAACTCCGTCGATACAAGTTCCACCATTTTTGCACCTGCAACAGAGTAGAGTTGTACTTTGAACATAAAACAGTATGGACAATTTGAAAAAGTAGAATTCAATAATATTGGACTGCAGTATTCTAGAGATAAAAGCAAGTAAACAAATTAAATTCTTTTAATGAGTAACCTGGTCCACTTATTACATGTTATTTCAGTTTTTGCTTGACACTGCAAACTCTTTGTTTTCTTTTTTGTGGATTTAGGCAAATTATTTAAGAACTTGCATAAGATGGATTTTTAGTGTAAATATATAATTTGTGAGAGAGAAAAGTCTCTTATGTTATTGTAGACAAGAGTTTAGCCTAGAGCTGAATAGGCTTGAAGAATTCAACTGTAGTTGGTCACAATGTACAATTACCCAGGTCCTAGAAGGCACTCGTCATACTGATACTGACAACGGTCCCCGTGGTAATCTGGAACACAGTAGCAGACACTGGTGTCGTCTTCTACCAGACACAGGGCTTCATTCTCACAAGGGTTGGCCGGACACATGGACAATACAAGGTCACAGTCCTTTCCAGTGAAACCTATACATAACATTTAGCATCTAATATTGTACTTTGAAATACAGTTAAACCATTTAACTAATTATAATTATTATAATTATTATGATTATTATAGATAATTATGGTAGAGACTCACAAACTTGACTTGATGAGGACCAAAAGGTGCCGCATTTGAGAAATGTGTCTAAAATTTCCAAACTAAGCCACAATATAGAACATTTTCTTTTTATTTCTTATAACCATTACTATAATTAACAATTGAGATGGGGACGCCACCTGTTTATCCAAACCAAAGGATCATTGTAGAACAAAGAATATATCTATATAATATTTCTGTTATTAGATACTAAGTTTAACTTTAAAAGGAGATATATCACTTTTAAAATCTCATAGTTATGGTGCTGTTTTTCTAGCTTTCTGGTTGTGAGATACGCGGGGCATTGTCTAAATGTCTGCAAGTGGTCCAAATATCGATGGCATTGTACTGTGTAACTATTGAGCGACTGAATTATTTTAGTTTGCATTTCTGCACTTTTCACGCTATCTTTGCATCAGGATCATAATCTCCAGTCATCTGGCAATGAATATCGTCATTGGATCGTCTCTTGTAATCAAAACACGTATCACTGACCTTACCTCGGACGCGGCAGAAGATTTGATTACTTAAACATTATTTTTTAAACACACATCAAAGCTTACTTGACTGCTACATAGGTGAAATTTGTGTCATTTTATTCAGAAATGATGCCAGTAGATGGCAATGAGCCTCTTTACGATGTACAATAGAACTACGGATTTATATGCAAAACCGGCCCTTTCTTAAAAAAACCTCCCTCATATTTATTTTTTTCCCACACAGTAAATAGGACAAACGTCTATAATAGACTACCCTCATCCATTTAAGATATTAATATGGATGATTTTTTTGTTGGGGGGATAAAAACATTTTTAGTATTTTTACTTGTACAATTAATTTTAGTTCCATGACTGATTTATCATCCGGTGATCATTTGATGTAATTGATAAAATTAACAATGTATGAAAAGAGCTTACCAAACAAGCAGGCACAAGAGTAAGACGCGTGCAGATCTATGCAGACGGCGCCGTTTTGACACGGACTTGACGAACACTCGTCTATTGCCACCTCGCAGAGTCTTCCGGTCCAACCTGACAAAAACATGATTATTTTATTCGCTCTAAGTTAGTTTACATCATCATCATTGATTGCAGCCCATCTGCTAGTGTGCTGATAATCCTATGATAGCTGATGATAGCTATGTTTTTTTCATACTCTCTAAAAAAAAACCCCTCTTCTTCATTTTGCTGTAGATGTTTTCCTTCCAGCGTTAAGTCATCTTTTACGACATCTTGCTCTTTCTCGTTCCTCCAAATCATCTCCAAAGCCTTGATGAAGTCTTCGCTAACTACTGAGAAGAATACACTTCTAGAAGAATACTCTAGATTTTACAAAGAAAAGCCTACTTGCACTATTCAAAGTCAGTGGTTAAAGCCAATGACTGAACGATAAATTGATTTTCTTACATTTCATGCTTGTCTTGTCCTACCAAATATGTATTACTAATCTCAAAAACTTGACAATGTTGTCAAAACCAGCCTGGTCTTTGTTCAGCTTGGTACATTTTATATTTTATTTATATTTTTACTTCAAGCACATATTCTATCAGTAATGATTTATAAAAGATTGTAAGAGTAAATTAACTTTAATTCAACCGTGAAAATTATAAACATTTTAGTAATTGTTTGTCTATTATCTTATACTGCAAGCTGCAAGTTGGTCACAAGCTATTATTACTTACCAGGAGTACAGAAGCAAGAGAAGGAAATTCCGGGTCCTTCGACACAAACACCCCCGTTATGACACCGAACATCTTCTGTACTGTTACACACTGCTATGTCCACCTCGCAATGTGTGCCTTGGAACAAAACCAAACATTTGTCATTGATGATATTTTACAAGGGTGGCAAGAAAAGAAGAAAACCGTACCCAAACCTTCTGCCTATTCTAAATATAACTATCTTGCATGGACTTAAAAATACATTGTTTAAGTTAAACTAATCGCTTATCATTTTATATGTGTATTATTTTATCTTTACGTAAGACGTTTTGGAAGCATTTTTAATATGACAGCAAAAGCAGGCCAGGGATACAGCAAAAGCTCCATGTTTAGGGATATTTTATTTTTCAAGGTGATAATTCTTTCTCCTGAAATTTTGTGAAGAGTTTAAACAGCTTCCTCATCCACTCGAAGACACCTTATCAGGAGTTGATGGAATAAACCTTCTTTGTCAGAAAAAAGAACTTATCAACTACTTTTGCACTGAGGTGGGTTTCCAGGGGTTGAAGTAGTGAATGGTTGACAATTTTGTAGCTGTGCTGCAGTTTTACAGACTATGATCAATTAAGCTAATAATTGCTCTTTGATATCTCTTCCATGTGGGTTCATGGCTCCTAATGGGATTAAATCATCACATTGGATTTAGCTTTGTGAAGGGATAATCTTATGTTTTCTTTTCTCCAAAAACTGATTGTAGTTTTGAGTTAAATCCCAAGACAAATATTGAAATATTATTTACCAGAGTATCCAGGGGCACACTGGCAGGAGTAGCCATTAGCAGCGTCCAGGCAGGTGGCATTGTTGTAGCAGGGGTTGGAACTACACTCGTCCAAGTTCTCCTCACACATTTCCCCTGCAAACATAACAATGCACTGTAGGATCTAAAAACATGTACTTCAAAATGTATGCAAGGATACTTGTTCGTGTTATAACATTTAATTGAAATCATATCAAGAGCGTTACATACCCACAAAGCCCTCAGGACAGGTGCAGTTGTAGGTAGCGACTCCATCGTGACACACTCCCCCGTTGAGACAGGGAGAAGACCAACACTCGTCCCAGTTGGTCTGACAGTGAGCCCCCGTGTAGCCGTCTATGCAGTAACAGGTGAACGAGCTGTGGAGATAGATAATTGTGTTGTTAATTAATTCAGCCAGAAGAGGGATCAGCCAAAATAGGACCATTCTTAGAATTGGTGAGATCTCAGGCTATTCAATATGTACGACAACTTATCTTGTGTCTCAGTTCCTTCTTGTTTCTTTGGGACATGGCAGACTTTTCAGCAGTTGTTTGAAACTATCCAAGATGGCCGCTAGCCTCCGAGGACTCTTAATATCATATACTAGTTATTCTTACAATAAATTTTTGATCTCACCTTTTCTTTGGCTTCAGCTGTGGAAGCAGCTCATATCAAACTTTGTTAACATCTGATATTGTATATCACAAATCTTGCATATTTCCATCTCTACTATCAACGAAAACTAAGCCCTTCACTCAAAATCCTTAATATGTGTTGACCTTTAATTTTCATTCTTAAAGAAATGTTCTTTTAAGAAGTTGTTACTGTAGGCAATTTCTTTTCTAAAGACTTTCAAAGTGCTAATCAAATAGATAGCCTACTGCAGTAAAACGATAAAGAAACTTACCTATTAAGGTCATCCATGCAGATTCCATACAAGCAAGGGTTGCTGAGACAAGAGAATCCTGCTGTTGTAGTGTCCAACAGTAACCATACGGCCACTAGGAGGCCAACAGACCATCGAACCATCAGGCATCACCTCCACACTACTGGCTCCACACGTTCAACCTGAGAACAAGAGAATCCTGCTGTTGTAGTGTCCAACAGTAATCATACAGCCACTAGGAGGCCAACAGACCATCGAACCATCAGGCATCACCTCCACACTACTATCTCCACACGTTCAACCTGAGAACATGAGAATCCTGCTGTTGTAGTGTCCAACAGTAACCATACGGCCACTAGGAGGCCAACAGACCATCGAACCACCAGGCATCACCTCCACACTACTGTTTCCAGGCGTTCAACCTGAGAAAAATGATTTGAACAGAGATTTGAGGATGTTGGCAGGTTAACTTGAAACTGAGAGAGAAGTGAGGCTTTAGTCAAGCTCAACAAGAGTAAACTCAGGATCGTGATGAGACCTCTAACTGGTCTCTAGGAAAATGGGCCTTGCAGAAGAAGGAGGATACAGCTTCTGCCAGGAGCAGAGAGAAATCAATTGTATTCTGTTAGAAAATTGTGTGTGTAGTGTTTGTTCCTAATTCTTGGGAGTGTAATGAATCTGGAAAGAAGCGGGGGCTCAATATATCTTGCAGTACATTTAGGAGTAATAATTTGTTTAAGGCAAATCACAAATACAAAAGACAAGACAAATCTGTTTGACAGTCTCCACTAACAGACCATGAGACCACAGAAACATTTTTCATTGTTAAAGGACCGATAAAAATAATCTCTGTGTCGTTAAAAGAAATAATTAAAGAGCGAGAAAGAATGTAGTTTCATTAATCGAGAATATATCTACAAGGAAAGTACACATAGACTACAGTTAGCTGTTGCATATCTAAGATTATTTGTGAAAAAGATTACTACATGAGATGAATACAGTATGACGATTTTTACTATTTTTTAGGTAGCCTACATCTCATAGTTCATAGTACGTTTCTCTCCCTACTAAAATCCAACCACTCTACAAACCAACCGTGCACTATATCGTTGTCACTGTTAATGATTAACTTTTATGACAAGCTAGATCGATTAAGGTTGTAAAGATGACAGATGTGTAAACCAATCTTGTTGTTCATTACTTCTTCAATGGGAGGCGTTTCCCCAATTGGCGGATCGCTGAACCGCCCGCAGTCCCCATTGTAGCAGCGATTGTCAAAGTCAGTGCAATCGTCGTAGTTGAAGCCAAGTGGTTCGTTTCGCAGTTAAATGTAAGAATATGTATTTGTATCGCTTATGTATAAGATGTAATTAACCGCGGAAACGGTAAATCTGTCTTATCAATGCATGTGTGTGTGTAGGCCTAGGTTACCGTATGTCCTTCACGGCCTTGAAGAACGTATCCATACGGCATGTGTCTAATTTAAATAACATTTTCACGATGCCTGTATGTCAATCCAAATACCTTATCTATTAATTGTTATCCTAACCTACTATACTAGTGTAGTGGCATTCTGCTTGTGCCACTACATAATGAATGATTTTATTTTAGTTATTTTACATATCTTGAGTCTTGGTATTAAAATACTCATAGAGATAAAGGCTTTCATTTGAGATATTGATGTTTTGAATCATATGTTGAGTTCAAGATATTGTATTAATCAAAAAACAAATTTTATTGCCATTATTGTCGCCGGGTTTTGCACCTGGTAAAAAATTTAAAAAAAGTTTTGATTTTAAATTTATTTTTAATGAATATGCTTTTGTCTCTGACGTTTATAAAGTAAGTAGAATTGAAGAGGTTATTTGAGTATGGTGGAGAATACGTTCTTTCTTACACAAAAATATTTCTTTTGTCAGTTATCCTACACCTATCGCCAACAATAACAATGACAAAGTGCCGCTGAATGCTGAATTATGGGAAACGCGAATACTGACAACTCTATCAATACGCCTGACAGCTCGTCGATACAGGGCGATTTGTGGTTATAGAACCGTTTACCTTAACCTCTTTTTTGCATTTCGATAGTTAATGTTAAACTAGGATTGTGTACATGAGTTTAATTGGATCGATAGAATTGTTGGAAATTTGTATTAGAAGTTCATTTGAAATATTACTACAGGCTTCATATTGATTGAACTCGAACATAGGGGAATATTTCATAATGTCTTACGACCATCAACTAGTCTTATAATGTACAGAATCAATATTTATTTCTTACAATATACTTAATGTAGGTATTTTCAGTAAGTTGCATTTATACCCAAACCCTAAAACTCCATAAAAAGTTTTACTCTGACTCCATATTGTTCAATATAGTCAACACGTTGGTTGGTAAGATGGTACACCGTTATATGAGTTGGGTGGAGAAGGGTATGAGTTTGTGAACATTACAAACAACAGAAAGAAAAAAATTGTAGCCAGTGAATGTTGGTGATTCAGTAAACCCTTGAAGGGGCCTAGTCTAGGTAACTGTTTTTAAGTTTATATCTGAATCTCATCCAATCTACACTCATCCTGCACTACTGTAATTTCAGGTTGAAATGCTCAACATTGAGTAAATTAGCAATAATGCTGACCACCTAATTGTGGAGATACTGGTTTCAACAAAAAAATAGGAGTTAGATTCACGTTTAGCAGCAATGCTATGAATTCTTCAGTCAATGAGCAGCGATTTGTTTCAACGTGGAGGTTTTAGGGGAAATCAAAGAATCCGAGTTTGGTTGCGTTTACGCAATGAGCCGTGCCAAGAGCAGGTCCGCACAATCAATGGCGGCGATGAACACGGTCGTGCACGTCACAACACGCCCGACTCTAAACTTTACATCTGACGACTGTCAATAGTCAATATAACCGATAACGCTATGAAATACGTGAACAGCGCGGCAAGAAAAACAATTACTCTTATTGTTGGTTTGTGTTTTCGCTATTTGAAGAAGACATTGTATGTATATCGGTCTGTGTGTGCGTTCGTTCACTGCCGATCCGACTGGGCTGAAATTTGACACAACGGTAGATAATTAACATTGGAAACTTATAGGTGTATTCTTGTCCCTAAAGTGTCCTCGGGCTACCCTCCGTAGACTTACACAGTTTGAGGTGAAGCTTTTGGAAGTAAATAATATAGATTAGTCTTGATGGAAATTAATGTAAATGCTATAGCTAAATGTATGTAATGGAATTGGATTTTAATTGTATCATACCACACAGCTACTTGAATTAAACTAATGCGAATTACCAATTGTACATAAGAGGAGTGTTTTATATGGCACAACTTGATAGTAGGAGTAGGTTGTTTTGTTTCTCCTATAACGTTGGTATGGGTTTAATACTTTTTCCTCAGTATATGGGAATATTCTGTAATTTTATTCCTGTTTTAAAGGAATCGATTAGTTTGTAGAGCACCGAGCACCCAAACATAACTTTTCTATTAAATCGATCCCACTAACTTAATTGTAGCCTATACCTTTGGTTGGGTTGGGTAAGATTTTCAAGTATTTTCACACCTTAGGAAGAATAGGGTAACTGGTACTTTTCCACCCGTATATTTTATGTGATACACAACCTACCTATCAATAGCATCGAGAGGAAATTAAAAATTAACTGTGGTAAGATGGTATGGTGTGAAATGAACCCCTCAAAGCCGTCCGTAATAATTAATCAAGCCGCAACTATTCGCAAGAGTTTGCGTGATCAAGACGGTGTGATCCTGGGGCTTGCACGTGTGTTTAGCACTCCCGTAGCGTGACTTCCCGCCATTTCCACAGCTGCTGATAATGGCGCCAGTTTTCGCTAGGATTCTAGTTTGCAATCGTGTCTTCATTTGGATTCGATCAAAGTTTACAGTTACTAAACGTTCTGATCATTGGTACTACTGTAGTCTCAGGCGAGTAGATTTGGACAATTAATTAAAAGGGGATTTTCTTTACTACGGTAACTAATTTGTTTACCAATCAATAAGTATTTTGAAGAATGAGTAAACTATTGGAGTTTGATTATTTTAGACAGCAACTTTTGTACAAATAAATGCTTTAACATTGTGCTGTAACCTCTAATGTAAACGTGGGTTTTACTGACTCATTGTTATAATAACTGTTTCCCATAGAGTTTCTTTGGCCAGGACCATTTATTGAAAGCCCGGTGATCGAGGACATCTGCGTCCCGATCCGATCCATCAAAACGCTACTGACTTGCGGCTCTCTATACAGGGTGTCTCAGACCACCCGGCCGGCTTGTATAGCTCCAATATGAAAGCAAATGGAAGCCTAATTGCAACTGGAACCCCCTATTTTGACCCAAGGAATTCAGCTAAATTATTTTCAACCCCAAAAAATCACCCCAAAGGGCGGATTCGGGGGGTGGGGGTGGTTTTTGGGAAATTTTCAAATGTAAAGGGGGGTCGTGTTATATCTCATTTTAAAGGTCTTTTAGTCCTGAGTATTTTAGTGGAAAAAAATTGAAATTATCTTCATTCCTATTTACAGGGTGTTCAAAAACGTACAAAAAATAGACCTTTGAACTACTTTTCACTGTAAAGATGTGGAATTTCGTGGGGGATTCAAATTTTGATAACACTTTAATTGCTAAATGAGCTTTCAAAAAACTCTGGTTTCAACACTTTTGCTATCTTTTTACTTATGTTACGCATTTTCAAACTTTTTGAAGTTTAAAAAGCTGTTATCTCAAAAATTTCAAATGGCAACATGGGTTTCATTACAAACCACATTGTAGCCCTTAAAATTAGCTACAAATTTTGTATTTAATGTTTTTTGGTATCTTCATTGGTTAAAGAGATATAGTGAAATTAGTGTATTTTAATGTTTTATTAAATGGTATTCAAAGTGTTTGCTGTTGTAAATGTACACCTCTAGGTCTAAATTAAAACTAATTTTGTCTAAAAAAATAAAATAGTACTCAGATTGTTGATCTTGGAAGATTGATAAAGGAAAGATCACACAACTGCAAATATTCATAGTTATTTTTCAATTCCATGGCTCTAATAGTGCTTTGAATGAATAATTTGTTTAAATCAGCATTAATAGCCTACATACCGCTGGACTTCTACAAATGCTTAAATTGCCTTCCATTTTGTTCCATGCAAACCCCAACTCTGTTTATAGGCACT